ACCTATTACCAGATAGCCGCTAGTTCCATGCATCAATGGGTCAGAATCCTTCCAAGAGGGAAATTAGAAATATTTTTTAAGACCTGTGGCTGGCAAGAGAGTGTTGTTTGGTTATTTGTGCTCTTGCGTAATTCGATTATGAGCCCATGGTGAGCACTGCGGCCTACCCCATCAGGAATGCGGGGCCTTGAGCTGCGAGAGCCCAGGGTTCTGTCAGCTGTCTGCATAAGGTCCCTAACTGAACCTGCCCTTGGTGCGTTTTTCACATTTTTCTTGTAGGAACTAACCTTCTGTTCAATGTGTTTGCTGTTATGCGCAGAAAGACAGAGCACAGGGGCCTTTTCAACCTGATGGGACAGCGATTAATATATGTTTTATGTGGCAGAGATTGACCTAAGTGATGCTCTCATTGGGGGTGGGTCAGGATAAGGGACTTAATTTCCTCTTTACGTTACAGGTTACAGCTGGGCCAGGAAGCACCTGACTGTTGTGAACGCACATACGGTCTTAGGCCACTTTCAATGGCTTCAGTTACATTCCTTATGTCCGCCTACTGCTTCTGGCATTTCCTGTTAGAGTCCTCAAACTAAATACGTTCAGAAGAGAATTCATGCCATCGCTCCTTTCAATGGTCCGGGTCTTTGAAATATCAACCCCCGTCCTTTCTTTTGGGCAAACTCCCAATAAACAGACTCATTCTTAACACCTGCTCTGTCACCCGAAACACAGTCAACACATTCCATGCATTTCATCTGCTAAACGTCTCGCAAATCTGCCCACGCCTGCCCCTCCGACACCACCTCGCTAAACTATCACAACTCCTTTACAGCAGCCATCGCCCAACTGGTTTACCATGTTCTCGCTGGCCCCACTCCAAGCCACTCATGTCCTGGCAACCAGAGTGACCTTTATGAAACATAAATACTATGTGTTACCACTTGCTTAATGTTTAAGATTTCCATATGTCTTGGGATGTATACCAAAACCTTCAAGCTGCTCTACATTTCCTGCATCACCAGGATTCTCCCATCTTTTCACACTCATCTCACACTGTTGATTTTCCTCTGCCCAGGAATCCTCTATTAATCAGCGGTTCTCAACCTTCCCGGTGCCGCGACCCTTTGATACAGCCCCTCATGTTGAGTGACCCCAACCATAACGTTATTTTCATTGCTACTTCATAACTAATTTTGCTACTGTTAATGAATCATAATGTAAATATCCGTGTTTTCTGACGGTCTTAGGCGATCCATGAGTTGTAAAGCCTAAGACGACCAGAAAACACAGATAAGTGAAATGACCATCGGAAAACACATCTTTGATCATAATGATTTGTCTCCTTATGTTTACTTGGTTTAATCTATTTTGATCATTTCTTTGATGAGTCAGGCATCATGAGTCTTACGCACCTAAGACTGGAATAGCGGATCATTCCAAAATGCTAACTATGGGCTCTTAAGCAGTATGAAATGGAGATTGAGGGTAGAAATGGAACCCTCTTAAAATGGGCATTTTAAATGTATGTCTTTTCATCTCCATTAAAAATATTAAGATCAACCAAAGGACTTGTATACTTGCATATAAGTACAACCAATGGACACAAAACTCTGGGGAGGGAGGGCATGAATGGGAGGGGGAAGGGACAATGGTAAGATATGTACACAGATAATAATTTAATAAAAAAAAATATTAAGATTTCAGGGCCTGACAGTTCTACTGTTAGATTTCTTCCAGGGACAGTTAATCCAGGGCAGTATAATCAGGGCACGGACAAGGTACAGTATCAGCCACGTTGTTTAATGATTAAGCTAAACTGTGATTCTAACACACTCACACAAAGTGCCCACGATGAGATCACATCTCCATAATCCAGTCTGTGAAACCCTAATCCTCTGAGATCCTCTGGCCACACGGAGGACTTTGGCAGGTAACGTTCGGTTAAACCTGTAAAAATTCCACTCTCAGAGTTGCAATGAATATTAACTCATTAAAAAGATCTGAGAAGTGTTTGCTAAAGAAAATATGCTTAACCCAGAGCTGCCGAATGAATCCGACCGCAGAACCTTGTGTCTGGTTAACATCTTTGGCCAAATTGGCTCTTCACCGAACAGTTATTGAGACAGAGGACTATAGGCCGGATGCCTTGAAGAGGATGGATATGAAAATCCTTCAGTAATGAACTCCCAACTAAAATCAAAAGTGCATTTTCATTAAAAACAAAACAAATAGCAAGCAAGCAAAAGAATACTTACTAAATAGTAATTGCTTCAAAGGTGGATAGGAGTGGGTTGATATTAATTTATCATTTATATGTATTATTATTTGTCTTTGTAATAAGTGCATATTACTATTTCTCTTTGGAATTAAAAATATTGGAAGTGTATGCGAGAAAATAACACACAGAGAGAAAATTCTATTGGGGTCCCTGCCCTTATATTAGTATTTTAACCTTTACATCTTAAACTACTACTATGGAATGATACACTTCATAGTTGCCTAGGTCCGTGAGCTACATAAACCATAAACAGACCAACATGCATGTGTGATTACACATGTGTGAAGTCTGTTATGTAATTAGCATGGACGTTGTTTCATCCTAGCACTCTCTGAGGTAAGCAGCTCTTTGGAAAAACGAGTCACCGGTCTGCTATTGACACGTGGGCCCGGAAATAGAACCTGCCTGAAAATTGGCTGTCGGTTCCCGTAAATGAGGAGCGTGACCTCTGGAAAGGTGACCCTTGTCAGCATGTCGGGTCTCTGTAAACAGCCGGAGCTGGAGTTCATATTGCAGGTGGCCTGGGCCCTCTGTGCCGGCCCGTGTCCCCCTCTCCAGTCCCTGGGAGGGGCAGGATTGAGAAAAAAAGAACAAAATTGCCACCAGATTCAATGGAGTGTGATTCTGTGCCAGCGTTTTAGTGAGCATTAGTGCATGATAACCAAACGGAGTTAATGTTACATTTAATTTTCAGTTGAGAAGCAGGCAGCTTAAAAAGCTTAAGTAATTGACCCAAGTTAGCCTTAATCAGGTTATAAGTTAAATGCTTGGTTTTTCATTTATGATATTATTATTAGTAGTAGTAGTAGGATTATAAAGGGGAAGTCAAAAATCATTCACTTCAGGTATAAACGTGAACAATGCTTGGCCTAATAAACCATCAGGAAATGTATTTGTATGAATAAATATGACTTTTATGATATTACGTTACTCATCATTACATATTTAAGTAAAAATTTACATTACTCATTATTACATATTTAAGTAATTTTTTTTTTAACACCTGCTGGTTTTAAATCAAACATTTTTTCTTATTTGGAATTTGCAGGTATTTTTATAATAGAGGGATTATAGGAAAATTATAAATACTTGCCACGTTTCATCTCAAAGTCAGCCACTACTAATGAATCTGAGAAACTTTTATGCCTATTAACTAAACTAAGTGTTAAATAGAACATGGTGTGATGCTGGTTTATGTTTTTCTTTCTTAAATTGCAGTAGATTATATGAATTTCAATTGGAATTTCTGCCATGCCTGGGATATAGGATAATCGACAAAAATATTGGTATAATTAGATAGACACTAAAACCAAGAATGTTAAGTAAGCTTTAAAAAATATGTTATTACCCAGTCACAGAACAATATTAAATCCCATTAGCATAAGATTTAAAGGTAAGAGAGTGTTTACTAATCTCCACCAGCTATGATTATGTATTCTTAAATTCTACATGACTAAGTTCTTCTGCTACTTTCGCTTCAGGATATAATTTAAACAGTTTAACTTGGTGTTTGACTGGGAAAAAAATGGGTTTCTGTTTAAGACAAGACAAAATAGGATATTTTGATTATGAATGTTCTCCCGTATGCGAGTCTTCCTGAGATTTAGTTTATCAGAAAATCTGTGCACATCATTAAAATCACTTCTGGGTACAAATACAAAACAGTAATTAACTGCAATTCATCAATTATGGTCAGGAAGAAGAGGCAGTTTTCACTTAATAATAACTCCACGGACATCTGGGGATGGAGTAAGATAGCAATCTATATTAAAAATGGATAATGATCACGGAATAGCTTCAGACTTTTGTGGCATGCGGTCGCTTCTGCAGTTCTAGGAAAAACAGCTCCTACACAAGTGAATAATGTTTATGCAAGATGCAAATCAAGGGCGTTTCATTGCTACTACTGCCTTAGCCTCAAGGATTATATGATAGAGTAGCAATAAACTGTGAATCTACTGAACTGAAGATATATATATTTATATATATATATTTAAGGCTGCTGATTTGTATTGCTGAGTTTTCCTACAAAGACATTTTTGGGGTTTCTTTTTTTAAACATATATTTGTATTGATTTCAGAGAGGAAGGGAGAGGGAGAGAGAGTGATAGAAACATCAGTGATGAGAGAGAATCATGGATCGGCTGCCTCCTGCATTCCTCACACTGGGGAATCAAGCTTACAACCTAGGCAGGTGCCCTGACCGGGAATTGAACCGTGACCTCCTGGTTCAGTGGTCGGCAAACTCCTTAGTCACGAGAGCCAAATATCAACAGGACAACGATTGACATGTCTTTGGAGAGCCACTTTTTTTTAAAACTTAAACTTCTTCTAACGCCACTTCTTCAACACAGACTCGCACAGGCCGGGGGCATTTTGTGGAAGAGCCACACTCAAGGGGCCAAAGAGCCGCATGTGGCTGGCGAGCCTCAGTTTGCCGACCCCTGTCCTGGTCCATAGGCTGAGGTTCAACCACGGACCACGCCGGCTTGGCCTCAGGATACACATTTTACTTTGAAATAACAGCAAATCTGATTAAGGTAGAAAAAGAAAAAGAAAAAAAAAAAACACCTCAAAAATTATATTTTCTTAAGGAAAAATGTACAATACACGACCCCAGCCAGTAAGGGGCGCTATGAAACGGGCTCTGGCTTTCCAGTGAGCGGTGGGGAGAGACAGCGGGCCCGGCGCAGCGTTTTCACTTACAGCGTGTCTGTGCCTCCAGCATCTGCGGCATCCAGCACCTTGAGCGGATTGGGAAGAAGCTGAACCTCTTCGACTCGCTCTACTTCTGCATCGTGACCTTTTCCACCGTGGGCTTCGGGGACGTCACCCCCGAGACCTGGTCCTCCAAGCTCTTCGTCGTGGCCATGATCTGCGTGGCCCTCGTGGTCCTCCCCATACAGGTAGGGGTCACCGCGAAGGGCTTTCTATGTAAGGGTGTGAAGTCTTAGACAATCAAGCCTCCCATGTTGAGTAAAAACTGTGCAGTTGTTTATTAATCTAACTGGAGGCCGAGTGCATGAGATTCGTGCATGGAGGTGTGTCCCTTAGCCCAGCCTGCACCCTCTCCAATCTGGGACATCCTTCTCACAATCCAGGACTGCTGGCTCCCAATTGCTCGCCCGCCTGCCTTCCTGATTGCCCCTAACTGCTTCTGCCTGCCAGCCTGATCACCCCCTAACCACTGATTGCCCCTAACCACGCCCCTGCCGGCCTGATTGATGCCTAACTGCTTCCCTGCTAGCCTGATTGCCCCTAACTGCCCTTCCCTGCAGGCATGGTCCCTCATCCCCCCCCAACTTTTGTCCCTTGCTGGCCACCTTGTGATGGCCATCTTGTGTCTACATGGGGGCAGCCATCTTGTGTGTTGGAGTGATGGTCAATTTGCATGTTATTCTTTTATTAGACAGTATATATTGATGCTCTTCTTATCTGTAGACATTTAGCTAAAACCGGCTCAGAATAGCCTTTTGACATTAAATGAGAAACTCAGGGTTTTCCCCCCTTCACGCACAACTCAGAGCTCACATCTCATTTCAGTTTTTCACGATGTTTTTTTGATGTTTTTTTGATGTATGGGACATTTATCTGCACTAATGACAGGATCTTAGGAGGACGCGGTTTTTAATCAGAGAATGAGAGATCAAGAAAACAAACTTGTGAAGGGTTGGTTTCTCTTGATTCTCGGAATCATCTAGCAGCCCAACATCGTAAGGAATAAAAATTGATTACGTATGTAGAGTGCCTCTCTCAAATGTAGGCACACTTTGAATAATTATTCATTCCAATGGGTTAGATCTGAAAAGAAAAAAAAAATCTATTGAGCTATCAGCTGTTAAAGTGTGTATACATTTCTGGGACTCCCTGGATTTGGCAACTAAAATAAAACCTGAAGAGAATATATAACTATTATGCAGCATTTTGTGGGCTGGATAAGGTTTTCGCAAAAGGACAGAGATATATAAAAGGAGACGTGAGATAAATAGATACAACCTCTTACTCTCTCTCTCCAATAATGAGCTTTGGGTGGGCGGATTAGAAACAGGAAACAGGAAACAGAAAATAGGAAATACACATGGAACTTGCACATCCCATTACAAAGCTTGGTCTCCGTGTCTCTAAATATACGTTAATGGTCTTCCTACTCCTCTCCAATCACGCTTGCCTTCCTTCCTGACCTCCCTCCAACACCCTCCCCTTCCCCTACATGCCAGCTACTATTCAACTGTGGCCTCCTGTGTTGTGTGTTAGGGGATCCCACTGCATGAGATAAGGGGTGAACTTGACAGAGAAGGTGGTGGAAATGCCAATGAGACTTTTCCCTGTGACTCAGCCCATGTCAGACATATCATGGCTTCATGCTTTACTGGACATAAACCAGAGGCACTGACCTGCTATAGCCCTGTCTCGATTAGCCGCCTCGGTAGCAATCGCATGAAAAGTATGTTGTTGAGGGGGAACACATGATTTGGATCTGGATGAGCTCCCTCTAAGAAATTGAGGACACCCAACCAACAGTGGGTGGGCTGCACGATTTTTTCCTTTCACGTCACGTGTTTTTCCTTCCCACGTGAACAACGTGTTCCAGTTTGAGCAGCTGGCCTACTTGTGGATGGAGAGACAGAAGTCGGGTGGGAACTACAGCCGGCACAGAGCTCAAACGGAAAAGCATGTTGTCCTGTGTGTCAGCTCACTGAAGATCGACTTGCTGATGGACTTTCTAAACGAGTTCTACGCCCACCCAAGACTCCAGGTACGTTTCAGTTCTGTTCTGCGTGAGGCCGGAGCCTGCCTACCAACAGATTGTCAACGTCAGTCACCGGCTGGTGCACCCTGCCTTCCGGAGGCCTTGTTTTAGGCGCTCAGATTTAGAAAGTGTAAAGGAAGAACTACAAATATAACCAGGGACGCAGAACAAAAAATGTGGAAGGGATACACGATATTTTAGTTTGCTTCTGCATCCACACTGAAGGACAGATGGGATTCTGGTAGTTACAAGGAAAGGTTTTCTGTGAACTAGCATGATTGATGGTTTTCTTTCCTGGATCATGCCTAAGTGATATTTTATGGAACAGTGAAATTGAACACAAAGTGTAATGAAACAATGAACAAATCATTTCAATGCCATCTGCTCACTTGAACCTGTCAGTTTTATCAAGTGTCGCTGATGGAAACACAGAAAACTGGAAGTTCTGATTTTTCTGTTGTTTCTTGGAGCGTAACGAGGTCCTATTCATAGCAGCAATAAGTGACCAGAAATCAGACAATAACTCGTTGAACTAAGAACATGAAATCAGAGAAACCTCTTCATTTGTCTATGCAGATAAAACGCTCTGATATTAACTTCTCCTTGGCACAGTACTGGGCCAGTGTCAAGTTCAGTAATCTTCCTTGTTTCCCTTCAATAAATTTGTGTCAGAAGGTTGGACTGTTCTGAGATCCGAACAGTGCTGAGTATATCTAATTACCTATTAAATTAATTTAAAAATTTTTGGAGAAATTCCCTATTTTTTATTTTCTTTATTTTTATTTTTTTAATTTTCATATTAAATAATTTCAGATTTACTCATTATAACCTATAAAGAAAATCTATTTGGGGGAAAATTCTGATCCCTCGTAATTTATTGATATTATCCTGATATCAATACGGAGAATTCTTAACACTCTAAAAAATTTTACTAGGTATATTTTAGAGTGATAAAATGAAGACTGTAATCCCAGAGAATTGTAATCCCTACAGATCAGTTGTTTTACACCATTTCATCATAAATAGTGCCTTTATATTTTCTCCAAAGGACTACTATTTGGAAATATTTTTATCTCAAACTCATTAATTGCTTTGTCAGTATTTTCAATATTTTTACAAATCTTTATCCATTCAACTACCAGAAATTTTTCAATATTATCCGTTCACAACAGTGCCAAACGATGGAAATCACCATCACAGTCTTTATCCTAAAAGTAAATATTTGAAGTCTGAATGATCACGTGCTGAGTATAAGCATCTTCTCTACCTGGTATTAGCAAGATTGAAAAAGGTCAGGGTGAATGCATGGATTTAGGAGACTTATACATCTGAGCTGTTGATTTTAGTCTTGTGTGGGTTGGCACATGCCCCGGTGTTAAGATGCAAGCTTTTATGGATGAGCTAGCACTCATTCCTGGTGGGTCATCTTCCGGGGTGCTCTGAGACCTTCGGGGTGCCCGTGCTGGATGACCAAGGGCATTTTTGCTTCTATCCCACCCCCCTCGTCATTCTGAACAGGATTATTACGTGGTGATTCTCTGCCCCACGGAGATGGACGTGCAAGTCCGGAGGGTGCTGCAGATCCCCATGTGGTCACAGAGAGTCATCTACCTGCAAGGCTCCGCCCTGAAAGACCAGGATCTGCTGAGAGCCAAGTAGGTAGCCCTCCCTCCTGCGCCATCATTTCCACCTGCGGGTCTTCGGATTTCTCTCCTCCAGTGGGCAAGACAAGTTGGAGTATTTTTGAAGACAGAGTTTTGCCTTAGTCCCGCCGCTGGCCAAACGCAAAGCTAAAAAAAATACAAGGTTAATGTGTTTGCTCCTGTTTCTCGGGGCAAAGACGGTCAGCAGACTGTCCACGCAGCACTGTGAGTGTGAGTGGCTGATTATCTCAGGTGTCAGGGATGGACTGGTGTCCAGACTCACCCTTAGGCTAGTCTCCAAATCCTGAACACGGTGTTTATTCTGTGAGGGAAAATCTTGGACTGAACATGATGTGACAGGACAGCTTGAGTCAGCGTTTAACTTTGAATGAGTTTGTGTTGTGCACTGGGCAGAGGAGGACCGAGAAAAAGCCGGAGGAGAATCCCAGCAGAGGTGAGGTGGCTTTGTTTGGTGTTTTCTGTTGCTTTAAGTTTTAAATACATCCTCCTACTTATCCTGGAGTTGTAAGGATGTATTTAACAAAACCAGTTTTTACCAGTGGCCAATTCACGTGGACAGGAGTTAGGTTCCTACAACATCTTATCACGTGATAGCAAAATGACATGGAAGGAAACCAGGTTATTCAAGGACATGCTGTATATGAATATATATATATATATATATATATATATATATATATATATATATATATACACAATTACTAGAGGCCTGCTGCTGAAATTCATGCAAGAGTACGCCTTCGTGCCTCAAACCCCATGGCCCCTTCCTTCCCCACACTGCCCACTAGTCATTCCAGAAGATCATTCCAGAAGGTCGGTCCACCATCCAGTCTAATTAGCATGTTAGCTTTTTAATATATAGGATAGGGTTGCAGAGAATAAAATGTGACCTTTTTCTCTCATTACAAACCGTTGAGTGATAGAGCCAATTCCACAGTGACTTTATTCACCGTCAAACATGGTCGTGATCTTGAGACCTAGGAGTCTCGCTGAGGGATGCTCAGAGTTTTTTGTTTAGTTGTGTGCTTTGGCAAAGACATGGACATCCTACTTTTCAGGCGATAAAGAGGAGGCCATTTCTGTGTGTGGTCATTTCGCCTTTCTGTCTGCTTCCAGGATGGACGATGCGGAGGCCTGCTTCATCCTGAGCAGCCGCTGTGAGGTGGACAGAACGTCCTCTGTGAGTTCCTAAAATCTTTCCTTTCGCCTTAGAAGATTTTTTTAAAAAAAAAATCTGATTATTTTAAATCCTAGTGGCATCACAATTTCCCTTTAAAAAAGCCAATACCTCAAAGCTATCTTTACTCTAATGTAAGTTTACTTGGATCACTGCCAGTGTCAACAAAAGTGTTTTTGGTTTTGTTCGTACTAATGCTTGGGTTTTCTGTTGATCAGACTGAAATGCATCATATATTCGCGAACTAGACCATTTTTGCATTACCTGTTCCCAGTGATTAATCTTTTATGCTGCTTCCCCCCCATCCCCCCAAACTTTCAAAGTCAGCTGTATATTATAGGTATCTATTACCATTCATGACATCTTTTTGATAACTAGTTATTGGACATTTGCTAATTGCACTAACTATTCTATCCTCTGTTGATCTATTGATTAACATATTCAGATAAAGTTTATACATCTTAATTCATTTATCTTCAAATATGCATGAGGTTCATTGATATAATTTTTTTTAAATATATTTTTTATTGATGTCAGAGAGGAAGAGAGAGAGATATAAACATCAATGCTGAGAGAGAATCATCAATCAGCTGCCTACTGAATGCCTCCCCACTGGGGATCGAACCCTTGACCGGAATCAAACCTGGAACCCTTCAGTCCACAGGCCAATGCTCTATCCACTGAGCCAAACCAGCTAAAGGGCTGATGTAATTCTTTGTATCTTTCTTAGACCTGAGCATTCAGCAACTCTCCACTAGACAGCTGCCCAGTGGCCCCCTTCACCCCCAGACTAAAGTCCTTTGCCAACTCAACCACAGCCTGGCTGACTTTCGCACCCTTTGCCTACAAGGTTATGAGGCTACAATGTCACTAGACGACAGTACTTTTTCAGCTCCAATCCAGCCTGATGAGACCACCACTGTATGTGTGGGTCATCATGGGCATGTGACTGTATGGATTTCACGCCATTGCGGTTTTGATCTTTGCAGGACCACCAGACCATCCTGAGAGCGTGGGCTGTCAAAGACTTTGCTCCCAACTGCCCTTTGTACGTCCAGATATTGAAGCCCGAGAACAAATTCCACATCAAATTCGCCGGTAAGTGGAGTCTCCAAGGAGACCCTTTGCTTGTCCTTGGGCTCCTGTGGTGGTGGTGACGGGGGTGTCTGTGGAGGTGGCGGCACCTGTGACATTCGTGTCTCTGCAGCACAGGGGGCTTTCCCAATGTCAGCGTCTGCTCTACAAGATAATGTGTTCCCTTCAAACGGTGCCAAGATCACGTGTTGGGGCGAGGCTTTCCTTTGGGATAGAATTTGGTGATTTTAGCAGCTGAGGTTTCTGGGTACTTATTATGCCTGAACAGAAGAGCAGTGATCATGTATGCTGCATATAGACACAGGCTCCACGTGTCATAGCTGTTCATTTATGCTTACATTTACACAGAGGTAGACAGTGCCTGACCACGGGTTACTTAATACACACATACATTTACCATTTATTTTGGGGGTAGATTTCGAAAAACAGTTCTAGAGAGAGACACGTGAGTTTTTTAGGCATGAGATTTTTATTTTATTTTATGGAGTCGCTGTTTTTACAATAATTATTCTCATGAGATTATATTTTGTTATGACTTAAATAGGAAAATGGTATTTTGCCTTTGTCTTCAATGCTTCTTTAGGGACTAATTTTCATCAAGGCAATAACATACATTTTTTTTTTCTTTTTCATTCTTATATTCTTATTTATTAATTATTTCTTTTTTTTTTAATTACTGAACTTACCAGGGTGACATTGGTTAGTAAAAATCATATAGGATTCAGGGGTATAGTTCATAACATAATCTCCTTCCATCACCATTTATCTCCTCTTTACCCTCTCCTTTTCCCCCTCCTCCTCTTCCTTGGTAATCACCTGTCAGTTGTCTGTCTATGAGGTTTGTTTGTTTGTTTGTTTTTGCTTAATCCCCTCACCTTTTCAACCAGCCCCCCAGGCCCTAACCTCTGACAGCTGTCAGTCTGTTCTCTGTATCCATGAGTGAGTATAACTTGTTGGTTTTATGGTATACTAGAGGCCTGGTGCATGAAATTTGTGCACAGGTAGGGTCCCTAGAACTGGCTGGCGATGAGGGCTGATCAGGTTCCCCACCTCCTCCTTCCCTCCCTCCCTCAGCGCCTCACCGCTGCTGCTGGTCTTCCGTGTTGCCCCCTGGTGGCCAGCACATGTCATAGCAAGCGATCGAAAGCCTTAGGGGACAATTTGCATATCAGCCTTTTATTGTATAAAGGATTCCACCTGGGTAGTCTAAAGCTTCAAAGCCATTAACATGCAAATCGTGTTGACTGTGGTAGCAAAATGCATTTCCTTCAGCTGCTCACACATCTTACAATGCTTACCATATGTACTATTTGAATGAAGAATTATAAACAGTTTTAAACACTCACAAGAAAGCCATGAAATTATTGCTATCGGGTTTCCTCTGTCTTTTATTTTTGAGCTTTGTGATGAACGGTATTTCTTTCTAAAAATGTACAGCATGCAACTTCCAGCAATGGCCCTCGGCTTTGTCTGCATTTTAGTCTCTTTGGAAGATTTTTTTGTAAAGTACTAATTCAGGAGACTCTTGATTTAAATGGTTAGAGCTGGTGCCAGGGTTTCCCTAAGCCTGTTTCCTAAATTGAAAATTAAAAGAATAATAGCATCGCCTTTGCAGAAGATTTTGTAAGATTAAAGTAATCCATCTATTTCCTTTACACATGCAATTAGCATTCGGGAGAACGCCAGCGTTTTATCCAAAAGACCTTTGCAGCTAAGCTGCTGTGTCCTTATTAGTATTTGGCTGAGGGGATATTTTGCAAATTTTTCATCATGCTGAAGATGACTTGCTATGAGAAGAATTTTAGGAAGGCGGTAATGAGGTAGCCCTGAAAATACAGATTTCATTCTGAGCGCCACCAGTTAAGATTTAGCTGGGCAAATCAGTATTCTGAGACCCTTTCCCCCCTCTTGCTAAATGGCCATAATATATATGAGGCCTCTATCTCATTGGTTGGGATCAGCAGTAAGGATGAAGCAAATAAGGTCTGACACATGCTAGGTGCTTACTAAGTGGATTGAATTCATTGCGATTTTTAAAATGTTATAACTAAAAATCAGAACAGACTTGAGTTTTCTCTCCTTTCTTTGCAACCCGTTGATTTACCTGCTCACAACAGAGAGGTCAAAGCCACGGAAATCATTCACTCCTGCAAACAGGAAATGACACAGATCCTTTGCATTGATTCTCTTGCACTTTCTCCTTTAGCCGTTATGTTGACAAACTCATTGAAATGACTGGACTGCTTAAAAATTCTATCCCCAATATGGATCTCAGCATTTCTTGTTTTTGGCATCTGCTGGAATTTCTTCTCAGCTGTATTCTTTTGTGGCTGAAATGAGGGATTTTCTATCTCCATTATGGGAAGAGGAAAGTATGCTGGTTTCCTTAAAATGCCAACAGAGGAGTTGAGAGTGATGTGAGAGACTCTTTTAATGAAAAGCCTCAAGTGAACTTAGCAAAGAAATGGTCCTCTCTAGTGAGCCAGCTGAATCAAAAAGAAGTTCGCTGTCTGCCTCCTACTCGGATAAAATTACCCCCAAATCAGTGGTAGATGAATCTATATGTTGTGAGTAAATCAATTGCTAAATTTAGGTTAGCAGTGTCTTCTCCCCACCCCCTTCCCAACTAAAGTGTTGTGTCATCTGTGAGTATTCAATTATCTTTATCAAAAAATTTCTTTCCACTACTGTGTCCTCTGAAGAGCTCCCGTTTCATTTGAACAGATGTAGGCACTTATTAAAATCAAATCGGTACATGTGCCCCTACCTACACGCAGGAGGAGAGGATGTAGAAAAACAAGTTGCAAAGGAGTGCACATTTTTTTCACGGATTTTATTTTCCATGCTTTGATTCTAGTATCTCATAGGCAAGAGGATGTGAATTATCGCTCATGAATGAAGGGGAGAATAGTAGAGTGTTGACTGAATGCGATATTTCCGATTTCTTGACTAAAACATGCCCGGAAGCATGAATCATTATTGTAGAATAGTAGGAGTTAGTTTGGGAAATTAAAAAAAACAATCAGTTGCAATAAAGTAAAAGGGAGAGGCAGAAGTAAATACTTTGTAACAATTAATCACTGGCAATAGAGTATAAAGATTTTTCTGATAGTGAGTAGAATTGTCTAAAAGCAGTATTGTCTAAAACCCGCACACATATACACACAGGTGCACACACACACACACACACACACCCTGGAGAAATGATTGCTGAAAAATGAAGATCTTGCCTCAGGTTAGCCACCGTCTATTTTGTTCTCTTAACACCACACATTCTAATGCCTCATTTTTTCCTGCCCAAGAAAGAGAGTGGAGAAATACTTCCAAGTGATATAAATATTGGAAGTGATCTTCGCTGTTTCTAAATAACATATGTGTGTGCAAGGCTCGCCTTTCACCAGATGGTGAGGGGTGAGTTTTTCCTGCTGAGTGATTCCTTCATTTCCCATGGAACACCCACTCAGACATTTCAAACTCCATCCTCACAATTAATTCTCGCTTGACATGTTAATATAACAAGAAGCGCCGCTGGTGCCAGGCTCATATTGAAGTCATCAAGCTATTCTGTTGCCCGGCGGGCGTGGCTCAGTGGTTGAGTGTCGACCTATGAACCAGGAGGTCATGGTTCGATTCCCGGTCAGGGCACAGGCCGGGTTGTGGGCTCGATCCCCAGTGTGGGGCGTGCAGGAGGCAGCCGATCCATGATTCTCTCTCATCATTGATGTATCTATCTCTCTCTCCTTTTCCCTTTCTCTCTGAAATCAATAAAAAAAATATTAAAAATAATAAATCATCAAGCTATCCTTATAATAAATCACAGGGGCTGAAGTGGAAGACTCAGCACTCGCTACCTCCTTTCTTCCTCTTGAGAACGTTGGCTCACCAGCTTCAGTAAGGCATGAACTCAAGGCAACTGAAGAAGTGGGAGCTCTCTGTCCATGTATGTCCATAAGAATGCCAGGACTCTCCTACCTCTCTGGTTTTATTTTTAAATTCTTGTACACTTCCTTCGCCTTCCAACAAACAAGTTCTTCCAATCTGAGTTAAAGCGTCACCTCCCTGGCGAGGCTTTTCCCGGTGCCCGCAGGCCGGAAGGCATCCTCCCGCTGCTTCTGCAGAATCTGTTATTTCCTGAGAACGCCCGCTGCAGTGTGTCCGCCCCCACGGAGCCCTCCCCCCCCCCCTTCAAAGCGCCCGTGGAGTCAGGGACTCAGGTCATTTTCATGCAGCTCCATGTTTTCTGTGTGTGATGGACAAATGACAAGATTGATTTCAAAGTCAAGCTTGGCTGCCGTGTTAAGTGGCGAGTGTTTGGGGCATGTGGGCGTTGTGTGTGTCCAGCCATCGGTTCCATTTCCTGGCCGGACTGTGTGTCTGTCTGGCAGCAGGTGGTAACCTTGAACGAGGCTTCCAGCGGGGAAACCCAAGAGAGGGTCACTTATGTGAATGCGCTTGGTTAACCAGCTTTGGCGTTTTGTGGAGTTCTTGGTAGGCAGGTAGAATCTAAATGAATAATTTGTGGGGAGTTGTTTCTGAACATCTGATTTCTTATCTGAAAGTTAACACGATATATGTCATTGAGGTTAAATTATATATATATGTATATGTATATGTATATAAATTATATATTCGTATATGTATATATATATGTGTATAAGAATTATACATATATACACACATGCACACATATAGCCATCAATATATGTAAATATATATAGTGAAGTTGAAAAATATTTATATATATCTGTACATGTATATACATATACATATATATGCATCATTTAACATAAAAGGAAAAATATTGCTTGGTATTATGATGATGTTACTATTAAGATGATTCAATAACTATATCATTAACTCTCAGAATATTAACACCTATCATGAACTACTAAAGAAAGAACACTTTAGGTTAGAACCTAATAAAAATAGACTTCTGAGGAAAATTATTTTCCACAAAAGATGAAGACTGCTGTTTTTCTGAGATGTATAAACTGAGATTGATGATATTATAACTGTTGTTCTAGAATTCAAAGGGAAAAAAAAACACACCTTTTGGAGCATTTTATGAGTTTGATACATTTAAAAACATCACAGCATTAAAATAGTAGAAGGACTCCATGATTTGAGAGTCAGAAAATTGCTTTGTATCGTCAGTGTTACTGAGCGGACATAAATCTGTCTTGAGCATGTTGGCCAGCCACTAACTGGGTGGAATTCTATGTATTTAATAAGCGTTCTCCCAATTAGGTCTTGTGAGACTAAATGAATTATCAAGGCTTTCTGAAGTCTATTCTTTTTTAAAACAAATATATTTTAGCCGAAACCGGTGTGGCTCAGTCGATAGAGCGTTGGTCTGCAGACTGGAAGGTCCCAGGTTCGATTCCGGTCAAGGGCACGTACCTTGGTTGCGGGCACATCCCCAGTAGGGGGTGTGCAGGAGGCAGCTGGTCGATGTTTCTCTCTCATCAATGTTTCTAGCTTTCTATCCCTCTCTCCTCCTCTCTGTACAAAATCAATGAAACATATTTAAAAAAAAACACCACAAATATATTTTATTGTTTTTTTTTACAGAGAAGAAGGGAGAGGGATAGAGAGTTAGAAACATCGATGAGAGAGAAATATCGACCAGCTGCCTCCTGCACACCTCCCCACTGGGGATGTGCCCGCAACCAAGGTACGTGCCCTTGACCGGAATCGAACCTGGGACCCTTGAGTCTGCAGGCCGACACTCTCCCCGCTGAGCCACACCGGTTTTGGCAGCTTGAGTCTATTCGTAGCCAGTTAGCGGATGCGAGGCTCACATCGTGAGACCAGGCCAGCATCTCTGATGCAGGGGCAGGTCCACACGCCTGTGCCCACGCTCACAAACACATTCCCCCTGTGGGCGATTTACTGATGGAAGCAACCGGATGGCACTGGCTCTGGGTGGTTAGAGATGATCTATTTTCCTCTGAGAAAAAGGAGCCGTTTTGGCAGACAGCAGCCCACTCAGGCTTATAAACAGAGTCTAGTCGGCAAACAGTACCTGCGAGGTTTTATCACACCAACGGTCCAGTCGGGCTCTGTAACCCAACTCTGCCCCCTGGAATAAAAACAGAAGCGATCCATTTTACAAACTGGCCCCGCTCGGCACTGCTGTTTAAAGATTTTTATTTTTTTTATTTTTCTGTAAATCAACGCCCAGGACAGGGCTGGTTCGGGGCACCTTCCGATGCTGCTCGCTGCCTTCCGAGGGCCGTTACCTAGCAACCGCATGGCAGAAGCTTCCGGGGCTTTCCATCACCCAGGGGCTCAGAAAACGCTGGGAGGCCGACTTAAAAAAATAAATGAATAAGTAAAATAAAAATCTGACTTTCTGGAGTGTAATGAACAATTTTATTTTCCACAAAGCTGAAGGGACTTGGAAAAGACGTTACTCATGTGCACGTAGAAGTGTGCGTCCTTAATTATAAGTGCTTATCTTAAGAGCTGGGGAATGAGGGAGGATAAAGATGGCAATGAAAGAGAAGCCAAGGAGCTCACGCAATCCTACTGATTTAAAGGCTCTCTCTCTCGTTCCTGCATGAAAATGTGGACGTGGGCTGAGCAGGATCACCCCCTCTATGGTGGCCTCACCCCCCAAGGACCCCCAAGTCTAGCCCTTCCTATTTAGTATCTATTTTTAATCTATTTTATTGATTTTTTACACAGAGGAAGAGAGAGGGATAGAGAGTTAGAAACATCGATGAGAGAGAATCATAGATCAGCTGTCTCTTGCACACCCCCTACCGGGGATGTGCCCAAAACGAAGGTCCATGCCCTTGACCGGAATCGAACTTGGGACCTTTCAGTCCGCAGGCTGATGCTCTATCCACTGAGCCACACCGGCTTCGGCCCTTCCTGTATTTTTTATCGTTGGATTTCCATAGCCACTTGGGTCCTGTCGTCTTTTGAGTTTATGACTTTGGGTCTTGAGGCCAGAGTACAACGCAAAATTAAATGTATTTCAGCATTCGTTGTTACTGATTGGTATTTTAGTTGTTTGGTACAAAAATCTATTCCTTGTATGTTATGCAAATATTGCCAATTCCTCTTGAATTTTTCGTTTTAATTCTCTCCTGAGGATGTTTTTTTTTTTTCCATTGATTTTTAGAGAGAGTGCAAGGGAGTGGGGGAAAGACAGAGAGAAACCCATTGATTGACTGCCTCCAACTGGGGTGCGTGCCCTTGACTGGAATCGAACCTGAGACTCTTCAGTCTGCGGGCCGACACTCCATCCACTGAGCCATACCGCCCAGGGCCGAACGCCTCTTTTAATAATTTCTTTCCCAGTCTTTACGCTATGTGACTCACACTTTGCTCAATCGATACTGTTTTCAATCAGAACTATTTTATTTCATACAGTTGAGTTGTCGGAACTAAGGGAGACTTTGAACAGTTTCTGGTTTATTGTCCTCTAACCTACCTGCCTCTCGCCTCTATAGATGAGGCAGAGGAAAATGAAATACTTTGCCAAAGGCTTTAACAACAGTTAAATTTTGTTAAAGACAGAACTGGGGTTAGACACCTCCCCTTCCCTCTCAATCACTAACTCATAGTCTAGTACTCTCTCTCTCTTTTTTTTAAAAATGTATTTTTCACTTATGGTTTACATTCAACATTATTTTGTACTAGAGGCCTGGTGATGAATTCGTGCGTGAGTGGGGTCCCTCAGCCTGGCTGGTGGGAGGTTGGCCAGCCATGGGAGGTTGGCTGTGGGAGCACACTGACCACCAGCAGGCAGCTCCTGCGTTGAGTATCTGCCCCCTAGTGGCCAGTGTGCACCATAGCAACCAGCCAACCAGTCATTGGATCACTTAGGCTTTTATATATATTGATTAGTTTCAAGGTAATACAGCACAGTAATTAGACAATCATATACTTTACAAAGTGGGCCCCCTGATATTTCCAGTCCCCACCTCAAACCACACACAGTTATCACAATATTATTGACTCTGATCCCTATGCTGTACTTTCTCTTAAGAAACATTTTTCCTGGAAATAAAATTATACAGGTAAAAAAAAAAAAATCTAGAAAACATGTGTGTGTGTTCTTTTTTAATGGAAAATTTTGTAACTGAATTCATTGTTTTATTTTTTCATATTATTTTAAAATATTACCACCCCAAGGTAAATTATTCTAATTTACCTATTTTATTTCAAACAGATCATGTTGTTTGTGAAGAAGAGTTTAAATACGCCATGTTAGCTTTAAACTGTATTTGCCCAGCAACATCCACCCTTATCACACTACTGGTTCATACCTCTAGAGGGCAGTAAGTATATTTTTTCTTTAAGATAATGCATTTTAAATTATATATATATATATATTTTTTAAAAAGTGCAGTTATGTGATTTAGACATATAGCAAGCCAAGGTATGCAGCTAGAGATGTACCTATATTGTATTTGTGTGTTACCTTCGTCTGAGGGAGAGACAGGTGGATAGACAAACAGACAAATATAGACCCATTAAGGGGTCCAAGACATAACAGGAAATCGACAGTGATTGGCTGTCTCTACTAATAAATCTTGAGATAACCTGGTTCATCCTGAATCCTAAGTGTCTACCTCGTTTGTTACAACTAGGATGAGGGCATGGTTTCTAATTTTGCGATGAATGCTTAACAAGTAAAACATTAAAGAACAAGATGATGACAATCACTAATGTAAAATCTCAGAGGCATTTTTTTTTTATTTCTATGTGTGGTAAGTTTTTAGTCTTGAAGCTATCTTTACACAGTTGACCTCTAAATAAAAATATTCAATTAGAATAGAATGATGACAAAGTAGTAGAGAAGATTAGCTAGCGCAGTATAAAAGAAGTCACTTTTTATATGCATTTCCAGGCAGCTGGGAAGACGGTGTGTGGGAACAGGCTGTTCTCATTTACTTGGCTAGAGTTTCATAAAACACAGAGACTGTTTTGGACTTGGGTGATCAAGAAATATGTGCTCGGGGAATACAGTCACCACTCTGACTTAAGGAGACAAATGGCTCATGGCATTTCATACAGTGTCATAGTCTTTATTTGGGATGTTAGACCAAAATATGATTTTCCAAGTAAATCTCACTGTGGTCTCTAGTGGTTAAAATGATTGAAATTAAGTTAATTGATAGCTATTTAAGTAAAGTGCCCATTAAAACAAATCAAGGAAAAGGAAAATTTCTTTCTTGGGATATAATACTAAATGGTATGAATTAAGTGAAACATAGTAAATGCCCTGGTGGTATTCTTAAGCAAGTTTTACTCTTTTCTTGTGTCAGGTATCTGCTCTATTGAGACAATAGGAGTTCCCCAGAAACAATTTCATTAGAGTTTGGGATGGAAATATTTCTCTCCTGTACATTTACAAGCCTTTCATCTATTGATAGAAATGATGGAACAGGGTCATGAATTAAATTGTTTTTTGTTGACAAAAGGACTCAGCAGTGTGAAGAAATAAAATACTGGGAAGTACTTCAACACCAATTAAGTGAACATTCCTGGAAGTCGTCACATTGTTTTGCCATACCATCTTTGTCAGAGAATCATAGGACTTCCAAGCAAATATCTAGACCAGCTTCACTGGTTTGCGAACAATAAAATGAGAGCCATCGATGCTAACACACATTATTATTCTGAGACTGGTTAATCTACCTTGTCTTACCCGTAAATATTTAACATCACACAATATAGTCTGGTAAACAAATTACACCTGACACTAAGTTAAAATAGAATCCTAGTAACCCTTAAAATAGGACTTCTCATTATACCCTAATGAATTTTGCCTTATTAAAATAATATTGAAGACATTATTATCACATAACTAAGGATTTCCCATGATTGATTGACCTGCAAGATCTTAAAATACATCGATAATTAAAAAAAAACTCCCACTTATTTCACAACTAAGTGTCACAGAAATGCTAGAGTTGGCTAGAATAACTTTCTTTTTAGAAGTTTTATTGAGATAGACTTCACACATTCTACAATTTACCCATTTTAGGTCTGCAGTCTAGTGTTTTTTTTAGTCATAGGACTGTGCAGCCGTCACCACTGTCTAACTCTTGAATAATTTCATCACCCTATAAAGAAGCCCTTTATGTTTTTAGCAGCCTTTACATTTTCTCCCAACTCTTACTAATTTACTGTCTCTGTAGGCCTTCCTATTTTAGACACTGCATATTGCATATAGATGGAATAATATAATGTGTGTGTGTGTGTGTGTGTGTGTGTGTGTGTGTGTGTTGTCCAGTTTCTTTCACTTGGCGTAATGCTTTCGAGGTATGTTAATATTGTAATATTGTACTAATTATTCCTTTCTATAATTAAATTTATGCACTGGAGGGGGGAATCCCTCAGCCTGGCCTGCCCCATCTCACAGTCTGGGAGCCCTCAGAGGTGGGAGGTGACCCGGCAATCAGAGGAAGGTGACGCCCCATCACATTTCTGCTGCTGCCACTGCCTGCAGTGCAAGCTGGTCCTTGTTACCTGTGCCTTGGGCTGGCCCTGGGTGGCTGGGGAGCTGAGGGGACTGGGAGCCGCCATCTTGTGGCTGTGTGAACCCCCAATTTTGAGGGCGTGGCAGTCAATTAGCATATTCCCTCCTTATTGGCAATGGGCACCACAATCTTTGAAGGGTGTGATGGTTAATCAGCATATTCCCTCTTTATTAGATAGGATAATATTCCATTATATGAATAGGTCACCTTTTATTTTTTTATCCATCAGAGGATGGATATTTGGGTTGTTTCTAGCATTGTAAATAAGGCTGCTCTTAACATTCATGTAAAAATTTTTATGTGGGCATGTGCTTTCATTTCTTTTGGGTCTATCTTAGGAGTGGAATTGATGGGACATGTGTTAACTCTGTTTAGTCTTTTTTAGGAACTGCCAGAATTTTCCCCAAAGAGATTGTAACATAATGTATCCTCACCAGCAGTGTACAAAGGTTTCAAGCTCTTCACACCCTCAGGAACACTTGTTATTATCCAACTTTTTTATCATAATCATCCCAGTGGATGAAATGAAGTGTCCCTCTGTACTTTTGATTTGAATTTCACTGATGGCTAATAACACTGAGCATCTTTTCATGTGTTTCTTAGCCATTTGTATATCTTGTTTGTAGAAAAACCTATTCAGGTCCTTTGGTCATTTTTTAATTGGGTTATTTGTCTTTAATTATTGAGTGTAATCATATTAATCTGCTTTTTATATATTTTAAATACAAGTACCTTATCAGATATATACTATCAATTGAATAGAAATAGTCAACCCAACAGAAAAACAATTAATTCAACATGTTTCATGTATTTATTAAGAATATTGTTTGACTAAAGTAATTTATATCAAGTCTTCTGTACATTCAATTGAAGATAGTTGAGATTTATTTATTAAGATAATATGTTTGAAATTTTGCCCTTGAGCTTCAGTAGAAATTAGAAAGCTCCAAGGTAGATTTAATAATAAGAGAACTGGCAAGCTGAATTAAATAGTTCAATCGGGGAAAATGTTGACAACTCTACAAAATGCTTTATGCAAGGATTATTAAACCTTTAATTGAAAACAAAGCTTACAACAATACCCAACCTTTTCCATTAAAAAGGAGAGATAATAATACTATTAAAACTTTATCCTCTAGTAAATGGTGACTTTGAGTAAAAATAGTTGAGAGTCACAGGCAATTGTGTACTCTATTAATTGATACAATGTGAAAAAAAAAGAAGCTAAGATTTTAGGATCTAACATGCATAGAAGTAAATATAATACAAAACCTACAATGGTGTAATTAAAAATATATTTTTTTAAATAAGGTGCTATGTAGATTTTAGGTATTTCAAGAAAATTGTAAGTCTGAGTTCTGAGACAACTGAGATGGATAAAATAATGAGGAGCTGGGGAGAAAAGGGTCAGATCTTTTAGAGATACACCTGTCCCAGGAATTCCTGAGTCAGCTCGCATTAGACTTACCCACTCAACCACCATCATCCTTTCCTTACTTCTCTTCTTCTAGCCAGTGGAAATGTGGACACAGATGGAACTCCCCTCCCCCACATTAAGGATGCATTGCCCATCTCTGGATTTTTATGTAAGAGAAATATTAATGTTAAAAAATTGTATCTTGTATATTGGCATCTCTATAACAACTTAGCCGGTACCCTGGCTACTACAAGCTCCAAGGCTGGTGAACTGTCTTCTGATCTTACGTTTCCTTTTCCTATTATGAACACATTCATTCGAGTTCTAGTTGGTCTATAAATCACAAAGTAACTCTGAGCTGATTTCAAGTAACTGTGCCCCTTTGAAGCGTTGAGACATTTCCCTGTATGTTAGCACCTGACCGGTTTTCCGTTCACTTACTTTATTACATGTGCGTGTGCCCCATTCTCTTGGCAGTGGTAATTCTTGTTGCTAATTAAATTAGCATTTTGATTTATTGGGAAATCTTGTTAGAAAGATGAACGTACATGTATTGTGTGGACACAAATTACTGTAGGATGGTGAACATGGACCATGATTTTTGGGCAAGGGGATGTCTAATTATCAAGCCAGTTAATAGACATGAAACTGACCCATCTTTATGACATTTCATCCTTAGGAAAATGTTATTTTATTTTTCTTTCAGTCAGTCTCATATTTTTTTCATTAGTCCCATCTGAGAGGTGATATTTTTGGTCACAGTGATAATTAATGAGGGAAGTGGGGGAGAGATAATTAATAAGAAAAATATTGCCAAGGTACAATTTATAGAACTTGACCACTGATTGGATATGAATGGGGAAAAGAGGGAAAAAAAACAAACAAATATTTTCACCCTGAGTCTGGACAGCAGGGAAGTAAGTATAAAACATGTGGTTTGGCAGAAAAGGGAGTGTGGCTGTGGAAATAACTGCTTTCTAAATGTAAGCGGAGGTGGCTTTGTAACTATCCTCAGCTCCTGGGGACGAATGAGAACATTCGGGTCACCACGGAGGCCACAGGACATATACTGGGATGTAGAAGAAATGACAGCTTAACACGTTTCCCTGGGAAAGTATTACTTTTAGGAAACAGATGGAAGAAAAGGAAGGCAAACACAGCGCAGCACAATGGGACGTAAAGATGGAAGGGTTTGTAAGGAGAGACCCGTGGAGCTAACAAGATAGACAGACGGCTTGAGGTTGAAGGAACCGGGGCAGACAGTTAGTAGGTCCCTGGTCCCTGGGGAGTTCAGAGAAGACAAATTTAGACAACGGAGGCTTTGTCCAACGGAGGAAGGATGAATGTGCCGCGCCAACACAGCCAAGGGTTCGGAGAGCCTGAGGGAGGCTGGCGAAGGATGAAGAAAAGACAGACAAAGAGAATGAGCTGGGTCTAGGTGTATCTCCTGTGCCTGGCTGAGGCCACAGAACCGATCCAGAGGGCAAGCTGAGCCTTTATTTTATAGTTGGAGGTAAACAAGGTAGTGGTCATCATGGTTGCAATGTTCTTGTGAGTTGCACTTGTTTTGGCAGCCCGTTAGCTACCCAGGAAGGATCTAGGGAGCAGTCACAAGATCAAGCTTAATTATGCTTAGAGGACTGTGCCCTCTAAGATGACTGTGCCCCAGAGATGAACAGTTTTGTGAAACCTGCATCCCCCAGTAGAAACCTATTAACTCAAGATGTGGTGTAATTAATTTGTGTGTGTGCGCCGGGGAAATGCTGGATCTGTTACTTCCTGCCTTGGCTGCACGTGTGTTCCAGGGCAGAGTTTACAGTGCTTTGGGGTGGGCAGTATTTTTCCAGAAAAATAAAATTACACGCTCAATTAAGATTGGGAAATGCTAGTTAAACTTGACAATTTTCATGGCATGGGCTATTTTTCTGTTCTTGTTTTATTTACTGTTTTAGTTGAACTAGTTTCAGACTTAGAGAAAAGTTACAAAAAAATAAAAAAGAACATATACATGACTGAATGTTTACATCTTATTTTCATAATCAAAGCATACGGATCCAAATGAGCAACTGATATTGATTCAGTGATCGGCCTTATGAGGATTTTATCTGCTTTCTCATTCATTTCTAGCCCAGGATTCTCCCCAGGTCTCTCCTCGGGGCACCTCCATTCTGGTGTCTCTTTCTGTGTCTACATTCCTCCTGGGAAGCTGGTCAGAGTAGACGAGGGCTCCCCCAAGCACTTCCTGTAATTGAATCACCCCTGAAGGGCCCCGTCTCCACATACAGTCACCTCTGAGGTCCGGGGGGTTGAGACTGCACCCTAGGAATGTGGGGGTGGGGATGGGGATGGGCGCTGCCTGTAACAGCTGTGGAGGGTGGGGACACCAGGTTTTACGGGGTCACATTTACGAGCTGTTATTGTCCCCACTGTGCCGAAAGTTCTGCGTGTCCACCGAAGCCTGCTTCCTTGATCATGGGAAATAGAAAAGATGGGCTGTCCCTGCACTCCTGGGTGTCCTGTCCCCATTTCTCCCACCCCAGAGACAACACAAGACAAAATACATCCTCAGTGCTGGAGGCCTGAATGGGGATTATCACGAGAAAAGGAAAAACATCCCTCCGAAAGTTACTCTTATTGTCATTATTTCTTTTAAAAGGAAATAATGACAATAAGAGTAATCGTCATTGATTTCAGAGAGACGAAGGGTGAGAGAAAGAGAGAGAAACGTCCATGGTGAGAGAAAATCATCTTTCAGCTGCCTTCTCACACCCCCTCCTGGGGATGGAGCCCACAACCTGGGCATGCGCCCTTGTCCAGGAATTGAACCGTGACCTCCTGGTTCATAGGTCAACACTCAACCCCTGAGCCATACCAGCTGGGCTTATTGTTTCTTTTTAATATAAGCTAACATCAGGGGAAGCCGTTTTATCAGGTGCACCCGCAGTCCTTCTGACTACCTGGGAGATGCTTTTCTAGGCACACCTGTTGATGAATACCCGGAACAGTATCCTCGCTTTCGAGAATATTCTGAGAAATCCGGATGCCCGTTCTGCTTGGAAAGCCCCTGCCAGCTCCCCTTCCTTATCAGGGGAGACGCAAACAGGCCGCTGTCACTGCAGGCCCCCCGTGCTCTCCGGCTGATCTGCTGTTATGTCCTCAGCTCCCCCGATTCTCTCATCTCCGCAGCCTGTTCCTCAAATAACGAGATCCTGAAGAGACTTCCTGGCTCCCGCCTCCTGCATCTTTTTATACAGCCGTTCCCTCGGCCTCCAATTCCTTTCTTCTGCCTCCTTCGAGGAGGCCGCTAAACCCTCAATTCCTTCTCCTCTGGAGTATTTTTAACCTCCCAGATTCCCGTGATTTCTTCCTCTGGGAATCCACACAGAGCGTTGTTATTTTCTGCCAGAGCCTCTAGCACAGTCCTTTCCTGTGTGTGTGACTGAGTTGGCTGTAGCTTCAGTCAAGGTAGAGAACACCGCTCACTCATCCCTACACCTTCTAGAATGTTTCTCACAGCCTGGGCGCTCAGGGAACAGGAAGGCAATAAAGGGCCTAAAAGATGCACAAAGTGGCAGGCGGCGCTCCTGGTTCAAAGCCCCGTGTGAGCAGCGTGCTTGCCATCCACTGTCCCGGCTCAGAGAGAAGTGATGACTAAGGACGTAAAATCCACGCGCTTCCATCAGTGAAAAAGAGGAGGAAGGAAGCCCTCGCTGGTGTGGCTCAGTGGATAGAGCACTGGCCTGCGGACCAAAGGGTCCCGGGTTGGATGCCGGTCAGGGACACATACCTCGTTGCAGGCTCCTCCCCAGCCCGGCCCTGGTCAGGGGGCATGCAGGAGGCAACCAATGGATGTGTTTCTCCCACGCAGAGATTTCTCTGTCTTTCCCCCACCCCTCTCTCCCTCCCATTGCCTCTAAAAATCACTGGGAAAATATCCTGTGGTGAGGACTAACCAATAGTAGCAATAATAATTATCATCATAATGGAACTGAAAAGGAGATTTTAAGGAGTGAAGAAGATGGAAAGTGGATAAAGGAATGTTTTCTGATGAAACCCCTGCCCTAGGGCCATGGTCAGCAAACTGCGGCTCGAGAGCCACCTGCGGCTCTTTGGCCCCTGGAGGGCGGCTCTTCCACAAAAGACCACGGCCTGGGCGCGTCTGTGTGGAAGACGTGGCGTTCGAAGATGTTTACGTTTAAACAATGTGGTTCTCCAGAGACATGTCCATCTTTGTGCTGTTGCTGTTTGGCTCTGCGGACCAATGAGTTTGCCGACCACGGCCCTAGGGCAAGTGCAGGTGCAGGAAGAAACGTGCCAACCTCCAGCCAGGCTCTGAGCGCAACATTCATAGAAAGAGCGGCCCTGTTTTCACTGAATTCTAATCACAGAACGGCAAGCTCTCCTGCTCCACCCTCCACGGCCCCGCTGCCCTGCAATCAGCTTAGCCATTACCCCTGGGGAAGGCAGGGGCATCCCTGGGGAATCCCCAGACAACGTCTGAGCTACTGGCAAGCAGAGGGCTGGGGCCGGGGTCCAGCCCCTGGGACCTGGAGCTGGGAGGCCCCAGACTGAGAGGCCTGTGTCCCCCCTCTCTGCCCCTCTACCAAGCCCTGGTCACCGGCCAGCAGGGTCTCCGGCCGCCGGTGCCTCCCGGGGGTGGGCAGGGGCCGGTGCCTGGCTCACACCGGCGTGTCCGGGCCCGGGGCGTGGGCGCGGTGCGCCGGGCCCTCGCTCACGGCCCCTCTGGGTGGGGATGCGTGTGCTTGCGTTGCAGGGAGGGCCAGCAGTCCCCGGAGCAGTGGCAGAAGACGTACGGCCGGTGCTCGGGGAACGAGGTGTACCACATCACGCTGGGGGACAGCGCCTTCTTCGCCGAGTACGCGGGGAAGAGCTTCACCTACGCCTCCTTCCACGCGCACAAGAAGTACGTGCCTCCCGCTCCCGGAGGGGAGCGACGTTCGCGGAGTGGCCGGGTGATGATGATCTCTGAACACACGATGACCTGGCCACTCAGGGTCCGTCCTATAGATAAAATATGCAAATTGACCCTCCTACCAGGAGTTGGACCAGCAGGCAGGCCGGCCAATTGCCCATGTCCCTTCCCCCTGGCCTGGCTGGCCGGGCCCCACCCATGCACGCATTCATGCACCGTGCCTCTAAGATATCTCTATCTCTATCTCTATCTCTATCTCTATCTCTATCTCTATCTCTATCTCTATAATATATCTATATATCTATCTATATATCTATCTACATATCTATATCTATATTTATATCTATATCTATATATCTATATACATATCTCTATCTCTATCTCTATATCTCTATATCTATATACATATCTCTATCTCTATCTCTATCTCTATCTCTATCTCTATCTCTATCTCTATCTCTATCTCTATAATATATCTATATATCTATCTATATATCTATCTACATATCTATATCTATATTTATATCTATATCTATATATCTATATACATATCTCTATCTCTATCTCTCTATCTCTCTATATCTATATCTATATCTATATCTATATATCTACCTCTACCTCTACCTCTACCTCTACCTCTATCTCTATCTCTATATCTCTATATCTATCTACATATCTATATCTATATCTATATTTATATCTATATCTATATATCTATATACATTATCTCTATCTCTATCTCTATCTCTATATCTATATATCTATATACATATATCTATCTCTCTATCTCTCTATATCTATATCTATATCTATATCTATATATCTACCTCTACCTCTACCTCTACCTCTACCTCTACCTCTACCTCTACCTCTACCTCTACCTCTATCTCTATCTCTATCTCTATCTCTATCTCTATCTCTATCTCTATCTCTATCTCTATCTCTACTGAGTGGCCAGATTATGATGCCTTCAAAGGTCATAACACTCTGGCCACCCCGTGTATGACCGTGTCAGACCTTTAGGATTTAGCCTTCCACAACATTTGCGAATCCCGTCGGTGCTCGGGGTCGCAAATATCCCCCTGTCTATTTTGGGGGCGCTGTAATCCCCCTCTGCCTTAGCAGCGTTGAGGTATTTTCCCTCAGATGCAAACATAAGGGAACAAAACACGGGCCCCTGCTGAGTCACAATTCTGAAAACGCTCTGTTTTCTTCTCCACGTCAAGGTTCGGTGTCTGCTTGATCGGCGTGAGGAGGGAGGATAACAAAAACATCCTGCTGAACCCAGGCCCCCGGTACATCATGAACGCCTCGGACATCTGCTTTTACATTAACATCACCAAGGAGGAGAACTCCGCGTTCAAAAACCAAGACCAGCAGAAAAAGAGCAGCTTCTCGCGGTCCTTCTGTCCCGGACCCTCGAGGCTCCCCGTGCACAGCATCATCGCCAGCATGGGTGAGCCTGGCCAACCGTGGAAATTCCATTTGCTTCTTCCTTTGTGAGAGAATAACAGATAGACTTCACTTTTCACTAAGATCTCCGAGCCACATTTAGGACATACTTGTGTCTGTGACAGACTGGATGTAATCAAATATGCAGAACCAAAATGCTCAGCTGTTAAATTTGTAAAACAGTAAAGGGATTCAAAGCTGCCAACAATTGCTTTAGATTTCTCCTTGGGATGTAAGCCCCTGACACCTCTATGTCGCCTTTGTAAGGTTTCCTCCACCCAGGAATCCAAGGCTGCTTGAAATATTCTTTGTTCTTCTTTATAAAAAATATATTTTGTTGATTTTTTTACAAAGAGGAAGGGAGAGGAATAGAGTTAGAAACATCGATGAGAGAGAAACATTAATCAGCTGCCTCCTGCCCACCTCCTAGTGGGGATATGTGCCCGCAACCAAGGCACATGCCCTTGACCAGAATCGAACCTGGGACCTTCAGTCCGCAGGCTGACGCTCTATCCACTGAGCCAAGCCGGTTAGGGCTTCTGTGTTTTTCTTAAAGCTCCCTTTGAAGTGACAGGATACACAAGATTTCCTGGTTAAGCTGATGACCTTTTCCTTCACCTTGATCATTAAAGGATGGCTGTGTGGTAGCGGTGGCAAATGCTCTGATGGACTCTCGTGTTTCGTTGCGCTAGGCACGGTGGCTATCGACTTGCAAGACACCAGCTGTCGGTCGGCCAGCGGCCCTACCCTGACTCTTCCTACGGAGGGAATCAGAGAAGTCCGAAGACCCAGCATCGCCCCCGTCCTAGAGGTGGCCGATGCATCGTCCCTTCAAACATGTGACCTTCTCAGTGACCAATCAGAAGACGAAACGACACCGGATGACAAAATGTCCTCAAACTTAGAGTATGCTGAGGTTCTCTTAAGACTTACTGGGATCGGTGCTTGCCATGGGGACTAATGTGCATGCCTACCTACTGGACATCTTGAAGCAATCCTACATATCGCTACCCAAACAGCCTCCCCGTTGAGCAGTGTCTCTCTTGACTATAAAGTATTTGAAACCCTGGGATTTCTGTCTGTAGCATATAGGGTGGATCAAAAGTGGGAGACACAGAGTTTATCCTCGTATCATTATTTATTAATTATTGTATTATTTTCTGTATGAACAACTGTAAGCCTACTTTTGCCCCACCCTGTGTATTTCCGGGGTTTGGTGTTCTCTAATGGGTCCTTTATCCTTAAAGGAAAAAGTACCTAAACCAGTATTTCCATGATGTAAGCAGCACTTCTTTAAAAAAAATATATATTTTATTGATCTTTTACAGAGAGGAAGGGAGAAGGATAGAAAGTCAGAAACATCGATGAGAGAGAAACATCCATCAGCTGCCTCCTGCACACATCCCCACTCCCCACTGGGGATGTGCCCGCAACCAAGGTACATGCCATTGACCGGAATCGAACCCGGGACCCTTCAGTCCGCAGGCAGATGCTCTCTATCCACTGGGCCAAACCGGTTTCGGCTGTAAGCAGCATTTTTGTAACCGTTAGTTTTAAACTGAGGACTGGCGAGCTCTTTTTGAAAAGAACCAGCTGGTAAATATTTTATACGTTATGGACCACGTGGTCTTTGCAGCAGCTACTCAAGTCTGCATTTGAAGCATGAAAGTACTCAGAGACAGTGAAGGACTTGGTTGGCTGGGTTCTTAAAAAACAAACAAACAAACAAAAAAAAAACACCAAATACTGACATTTTGAATTTCACGTAATTTCATGTGACATGTTATATTCTTCTTCTTTTGATTTCTTCTCCAACTATTTAAAAACGAGAGGCCCCGTGAATGAAATTCATGCAAGAGTAGGCCTTCCTTCCCCCGGCTGCCCCCTGGCACCTGGGACCTGGGCTTCCCTCGCAGCTCCAGCTTCGTCCAGAAGGTCATCCGGAAGGACCTCTGGTCTAATCAGCATATTACGCTTTTGTTATTCTTCACAAAACCAGGCAGATGTTGGGCTGTGTTTGGTACGTGGGCCCTCGTCTGCCCCCCACCCCGGTTCTAATCTAGTTCCTTATCAAACTGTAGTTGCAACATAAGCTCACTGTATCTCCCTCTGTCGACACAGAGGATTGTAGCTGTAACTTATTAGCCCAGCTTTGCATGAGCTATTTCCGTGACTCAGCATCTCCTACTGCCTTGCAGGTACGCTAAAGGCTACCCCCCCTACTCTCCGTACATCGGGAGTTCCCCCACGTTTTGCCATCTCCTTCACGAAAAAGTGCCATTTTGCTGCTTACGGCTAGACAAGGTAAGCCCCTGTCGCTGCTTTTCTGCAAAGTTAAACCATCTATTTCCTAATGACATCCATGCAGATCATCTTGTGCAGCCTACATAGTAAATCATTTGCACAGAGTATAATGGGTTCGAAGAATATCTTTTCAATGTAAATGTAGTACAGAAAATGGTGAAATTTACTTTCTTAACTGCACTACATTATCCAAATTACCCAATGAATCTGTCAGTCATATATTTATATATATTGATTTCAGAGAGGAAGGGAGAGAGGGTGAGAGATAGAAACATCCATGATGAGATTCATGGATCAGCTGCTTCCTGCACACTCCACATTGGGGATGGAGCCCACAACCAGGCCTGTGCCCTGACCAGGAATAGAACTGTGACCTCCTGGTTCATAGTTCAATGCTCAACCACTGAGCCATACTAATCACTCTGTCAGTCATGTTTTTAAAGAGCAAAACAGAGGTGTCTGAATCTTGAACCTGTGAACTCTCCATATCCAACAACAACAAAATCCCTTCAGGTATTCCCTGCTAGGGGTCCATGTTCTATAATAATATTATTACACTTGTGGAGATAAAAGTCATGGGTAGATGATTTTTTCCAGCTTCACCAAAGTATGATCAACAAGTGAAAAATTGGTTATGTTTGCAGTATATAATGTGCTGTTTTGATACACATTGGGATAATTTTTAAATGTAGATTTAGTGGCAAGTTTACTTTACAATAGAACATGTGTACATGGGTGTTGCTTATTCTTCATCAAGCTACATACCTGCAATTTATTTGTCTGATCAAATAAATTTTAACTTATTTGATCAGACAAATTATTTCCTGAAACATGCTGGAGAAGTGGGTATAGAAAAATGTAACTATTTTCAAGTTTTTTAGAAAATAAAATATTTACTAGGGTTAATTTTATATAGGTATATATCTTAATATTTTTTTTCACCAAATTTTAGCAGGGTATAAAAATGGCTTTTCTTTGCATGATTTTTCTCCTATAGAGTTGCCAGCATAACTACTATGAAGATGCAAAAGCCTATGGATTCAAAAATAAACTAATTATAGTTGCAGCTGAAACAGCTGGAAATGGATTGTATAATTTTATTGTTCCTCTCAGGGCTTATTATAGACCAAAGAAAGAACTGAATCCCATTGTACTGCTGTTGGATAATCCGTGAGTATGTTTACAAGTAAATGCAAGAATAAGATGAAGAGTTTTAAATATTATCTCAAAAATGATTTCATTTGATTAGGATATTTTAAATCAGACACATTATGGCATATAGTGAGTGTTATGCTATAAAATAATCGCTGGATTTGGTTGTATTTCGCAAATATGATTTGAACTATCGCTGGAATACTCTGAGCTCTTTACTTCAAACTATTTTTGCATGTGGTCATTATTCTGGTATGCCAGTGGGACACATGCCGCCAACATAATTACAGTAATTTTCTTTAATTCGTCAACTAGCCTAAAAGAACGCTGCCAAACTGGACACTTTTGTTGTCTTTCTAAAGAACCGCTAATTATCAGAGAAGCGTATTTATGATCTATTTTTGAGGTTGTGCCATGACTTTGACTCTTCCACCGTTAGAGCATACATTTTATAACTAACATGGACGAATAAGGCATGCTTCACTGTGTTCATTTGTTTTGAAAAGGTTGGATTGATATGCTTGGTGAAATTCGACTTTGCAAAAATCCTTCTGCAAATGTAAACATAGGTCACTGAATCCTATTGCCAAATTTAGTATATCCTAAAATTATCATATCCTCTCTCTGATTCAAAATTAGTAGCATATTTGGGACCCTCTAACTCTCCTCTTAAATTCCAAAGTGATCCAATTTTCAAAATAAATGGGAGGAGGATAAACTCTGTGGCCTTGTCTCTGCCTTTAAAATTTCTCAACAGAAATTTCTCAAAACAGAGATATCTCCATAATATACTATAATCTATGCAATTCATAGTTTGTTGTTTTCTCAACTATATGGTATTACCTAGCTTATAGGCTTTTGATATAGGCAAAAAAAATACATTGTCAGTTCTTTTTAAAAAAAATATTTGTATTGATTTCAGAGAGGAAGGGAGAAGGAAAGAGAGATAAAACATCAGTGATGAGAGAGAATCATGGATCAGTTGCCTACTGTGCACCCCCAACTGGGGATCAAGCCCACAACTCAGACATGTGCCCTGACTGGGAATCAAACCTGACCTCCTGGTTCCTAGGTCGATGCTCCACCACTGAGCTATGCCAGCTGGGCAAGTTCTTTTTAGAGACAAGTATTCTATTTTAATTTTGGATTATTCTGCACGAAAAATTTCCTTTGCTTTCCTGATGACTTAGATTTTGCAACCCACTATTCACCGTCCGTTAGATAATTTTTATGGGGTTTGATTTCCTTTCAAAGGGTTCGGATGACTGGGCCGGTTGTAAAACATATTAGCTGCTGACTGCTTCCCGAAAGTGCTATCTAACGTTTTTATTTGTTGTCCTCTGTTCCTTTGGTCAAAAACGAGGAAACAAAAATCTAAAGACCCATAAATCATGTTCCAGGAAGTTTCATGAAGTCCTTTTTGCTACAATAAGGTGCTTGTTGCCCTGCAGAGGCTGGTCTTTTGCAACGTAAGCTACAGTAGGACAAAGAAATAAGATGCCATCATGTTTCTGATTTAGAAAGCAGGACAATTCTGACTGCGTTATATTATTCATCTTGAGTACAAATGACACTTCCTAATGACTATTGGGGGGGGGGGAGTACCTACAATTAATCTTGTCAGTGGTGTTGGTCTTGGAAATGCAAACTAAGTCCACTTCCTTTTTCCTGGTAGCGTTGCCCTTGTTGTGACCTTGTGTTTCATTCTGTAACCCATCTGCCACTCAGGCCAGATATCCACTTTCTGGATGCAATCTGTTGGTTCCCAATGGTTTACTACATGGTGGGCTCTATTGACAAGTAGGTGACCAAGTGTGTGGCACGCTAACTGGTGTGGTGTCCCGTGGTTCGTCCTGTGCTGTGGTCCGTGTTGCATGATGAGTGGACTTGGCCGTGTAGTATCATGTAGATGACGTGGCCTTGCATGTAGAGCTTACAGTCTCGTGTGGTGTTTATCTTGTAGTCCAACTTCCTAGGCGGTCATCTGTGGGTGAACTGAAGCAAATTTTGCTGCATGTCCATTTTGTTGATTTTTGCCCGGTTTCTAAAGCTGTCTCAGTTCTGTGTTGTCTACAGCAACATCATGATTGCTTTCAATATCTGGTTGAGAAAAACTCAAAGGTTCAGCGTTGTGATGCATCCACACCTTTATCTTAACTTCAGGGAACCTTCCAGATAATTCAGAAATGCTCATTTTAAGTCAGACTTATAAATTGGAGAACTTCCTCAAGAATCTATTCTAGTAACTTATGTCAGAGCTCATACTTTCTAAAACGTTGTTAACTGAAAGGTCAAATGTGTGCAATGCTTCCCTATTAAAAATGAAAATTATTTTACACACACACGAACATGACATTATAAAAGTATAAGAACTAAAAGATAATAACAACGAATACTCCTATAACATGTGTTAATTTTTTTATTTAAAAAAAAATGTCAACCAGAACCTTTAAGATAAAATGTTTAACTATCTTAATTGAGAGTATTATGTGCTTACATTTTGCCCTGTTGAAGAAAATAGTTCTGTAACTTTGAAAGTTCTTATTGGCTGAGAGAACACTGAAGGCCAAACAGACAGAGATACATTTAGCCTCCATTTTACAGTAATCAAATTTACATGACCAGTTGTCATAATACCAAGTAACTGAAATGTAGTTAGAGAGATGAAAACTACTTAAACCATGAACGCGAACATGTCCCACATTTTGCCGCTAGTAATGTTTCTCTGAAGTGATAGTATTCGCTTAGAATTCATTGGAAGAACGGGCTATTGAAAGGAGAATGAACCGCTCATCGGTCTTTGCCTATGTACCTCTGACACAAATTCTTCCTCTGTGACAGTACGATGTGAGGAGAAGAACTGAGAGCATTAACTCCTATGAGAGATGAAGGAGGATTGCCTACCAGTTGATAATTATAGAAGCTGGGTGAATGGTCCCGGGGGCGTCACTACATACTATTCTCTTTAGCTTCTGTTTGAGATTTAAAAACCCTTTCAAATGACTTACAGCACACTCACAGACACTCCCTTATATCTAACATTCACCTTCCAGTTCTCCCTGAAGGGAAGTCTCAGAGCAGGCTAGAAAGGGAAGTTTTGTCCATAAGATTTTCTGGAACTTTTTTCATCTGTACAGACTTTTCTCCTCGGCCGCCATCTGGTGGCTGAACTGTGCAAAGCAGCCACGCTGAAAATAACTTTGTTGGCAGGGTGTGGGGACAAAGTATGATAGGACCAAAATAGAACCAGAGTCACAGCTGCATTGAACAGATTGACAGATTGTACAACCTATGAGGGGAGGCGGGGAGGAGGGGCGGAGAGGGGGTAAGAGATCAACCAAAGGACTTGTATGCATGTATATGAGCAAATCCAATGGATTTAGACAGTGAGGGGGTGAGGGCGGAGAGGTCGAGGAGGCAAAAGAAGACCCATGTAATACTTTAAACAATAAAGAATTTTAAAAAAAAGAATAAATTGGCAGCCTGGTTAAAAAAGGAAACAAGAATATAATGCAATATTAAGTTAATATAAAAATGATAAAGTAAAAACATAAAAATGTTTCTACAGGGTTCAGAAATGCCATTCCATTTTTACAAATTGTTTTCCATAGATTTAAACTCCTAGTTAATACTAATTACTAACATTATTTGCCAAGATTACTGCAGCCAGTATCCTGAGTATGGAATTAACTACTTTAAGGTCTAGGGACTAGCTCTCCAGCACAGATTCTCTCCTGGGGGAATTTTGGTCAAATGTCAATGTCATTGATTTATTGCTGATGAAATAGTCATCAGTCCTGTCATAACTTCTATCCGTACATCTTTTTATAGTCAAGTTCACCTTCTCCCACCTATCTTTATCTCCTCCGATATAGTAATAATGGGAGATTTTTATTTTTAATGGCAGAGAAAAGATTTTTAGAGCTGAAATATCAGAACGTGATTTAAATTGATAATAAGACGGGTTGAAGGCATCTGACCTGGGCATAATTTTTATAGTCCATAATTTTTACTGGGACCAAGCTACATTCATTTCTTACCTGCTTCTGTCTTTCTTTAATGCACTTTAACAGATGTAAGAACAATTATGATGGATTTCCCAGACAAAAAGAACATCTAAGTAAAGTATTGGTAGGGATTTTGCCCAGCCATCACATTGATTGGATGATAGGGCCCTGACCCTGGCACCACAGAACATTTATTTGGAATAACATTCTGTTTCCACAGTTTTAGCCATAAAATCTCTGCCACAGAACACTGGTCCTGAATTCAAGCGCAATCTTTTTTTCTGGACTCCTCCTGGGGATCTTGGACTCAAAGCTTTGGTAATGCCCTCTCACCTGATCACAGAGTGAGAAATCCTGCCTCCTGCCTTCTGGAGGGGGAAAATACACTTCCCTCCACCCCAGCTCATTCAACCATCATCTTGAACTTGGGGAAAACCTTGAGGCAGCTGACTGTGGCATTGATGAATCTAAAAGGAACCGCTGCTCTTTAAGCCTCACTTGTGCTGTCTTAAGTCAGAAGCTGGGCAGATCAGTCAGCCCGATTCTTCCCTGACTCAAGCAACTCCGTGCCTGGCACCCTGTTCCGCTCACTCACGTGTAGTCTCTTGGCCAGTTTAGGCCTGTTTTTCTAGCTCATGAACCAGGCAAGAGATAGCAGTTGCCTAGTTTCAGCTTTTAGGGTAACGCTTTCTTTTCATTCAGTGCTAGGCAAGGTGTTTATCGGCGATCGGGGAAAAGACTATTATAACTTGCAAGAACATATATGTGACGTCAGCACGCTTATTCAATGCAGCCAAAGAAATCAGTTATTTAGCCACCTACCCCAACACTTTAGGCTAACTACATGGTATCGCTATCTATGTATTTCATATGCTGTTGGATGTCTAACCTCTAAGAGGTTAGAGCAAACCTCTAACATATAGCTCCACAGAAATAAATGTCAGAAATTCTAAAAGGAACACTCCCCAGTTTTATGTATCTGTATCAGGCTCCACTCTCTCAATGAGCGCCAGCCTTCATCCTCACTCTTAATGAAAGCATCTCACGGATGAGAAATAGACACGTGTCTTTGAAACGGTGTGCTGACGGAACTAACGAAACGTTAACGTGTGCTATTACCCCACGATTGCAGAGTGGGCGTTGTCCGCGTTTTGTTAGTGTAATTAATAAGTCTTACCAAATGGTCTTAGTGCAAATGCTTTGAGCCAGCTGAGATCCAATAGAAACACAAAGAGACCAAAATGCAAAGCTTTCAGGTCAGGAGGGAACTCTGTCTGGCCATGCCAGCAAACAGGGCGCACCTCGGTGGAAGGCACCTGTAGGGGTTGACTCATGCTAGCACATGTGTGTGACGCCCTCCCAGCGCTGGGATTGCTGAAGGAGCCTCTCTCTGTCCATTTCCACCAAAGCCTCGATGACTTACTTCGGTGTGGGGTGACCTTCGCTGCCAACATGGTGGTGGTGGACAAGGAGAGCACCATGAGCGCCGAGGAGGACTACATGGCCGACGCCAAGACCATCGTCAACGTGCAGACCCTTTTCAGGTAGCTGTGCACGTGGCCCGCCTGTCGGGACTCCTGCCTGCATGGGAGGTGGCTGCCTGCCCTCTGGGGAAGGAATGGACGCCAGATGCTCACACTGAGGTTATCCTCATCCATTTGACCATAACATGAAGGCTGATGTAGCTCCCAATGGTTGATTAGAACCGGGTGACATTAAACTTCTAACACCGGCCCAACCGGCATGGCTCAGTGGTTAAGCTTCAATCTATGAACTATGAAGTTCAGGGTTCGATTCCTGGTCAGGGCACGTGCCCAGGTTGCGGGCTCGAACCCCAGTTGGGGGGCGTGCAGAAGACAGCTGAAGGATGATTTTTCTCTCATCATTGATGTTTCTATTTCTCCTTCTCCCTTATCTGAAGTCAATTAAATATATATAATATAAACAGGACACATCAGTGTCCTTTTATAGCTTAACAATAACAAATTCTAAAACATCATGTGTAGATAATTTGGGATGGACCCTGTGAGCTAATTTTGGTTTTCTGCCCAGCCACGGCCAGAGATATGCATTTACCTCCTGGGAAACCAGGCATGAAAGATGGCAAGGCTGTGGACAGGTAATGTTCCCATGTGAGGGCCGAGTCTAACCTTATTATCCTCACTATGGTCCTGTCTTTGTTAATTAAACTCACCGGGACAGGAATTCCTGCTACGGTGCTCTACCTGTTTTGCTTTAATACACAATTGCAGCTGGCCCCGGAATTAATTCTCCCAGCAGCCTGAGACATGAAGTAGATGGTCTGTTTTCCATCTTTATATTGGTTAGCATAACTGGGCACGTCAACACTATTTACTGAATGGATTAATTCAGGCAGAGAACTATACCATAGATATTTGACACTTCTCTACAATGATACTGAACATCACTGAGTCAGCGCATAAATTAATTGTAGACAAGTTTTAAGTAGAACAAACTATGTTATTTTTCAATTACATGATTGCTTTATTATGAGCCTAGAACCCAGAGAAAAAGAGACTGATGATATTATTTACTATCTAAAATGTTCTACAGGCAAAACAGTATGCAGCTCTTCTGAAGGCTCAGAAATAGCATTAGCACTTGAAATATACATAATTAAATCTATTAGGTAACCAACTTTTAAAATATAAACTATTATAATGGAATATAAGCAATACATTATAAATATAAAACGCACTGCAATGAAACATTTTATTATTTAAGTCTTAGTAATTCTAGGTTTCACTAGGTGGCAGACTTAGATAATGTGTTCAGTTTCTCAGTTTAAAAAGCATAAATGGTATATAGGCTTATTCATACAGAACAGGCACACCCCATAAATTCTGTTATCCTCTCTAATTTCACCTGCACATATTAAGGGAATGACCGGGTTAATCATATTATCACCTACTCTTTCAAAGACCTCAAAATATCTGGCCACACATGTGTCTACTTACATTCGATATCATGTGTTAGAAGAGGATTATAGTATCCAGGTAATCACAGACTTAACCATTTAGAATCATATATATGAAAGATAAAAGCTGCGTTTCTCAAAGAAAAATTCCCAGAGGATGAAATAAATATTCATTTTCTGCAGCTCTGTTTTTCCCATAAATCTGTTCTCTGGCCTCAGATCTCAGCAGTGTTCCAGATGTTTCTCACGAGCTCTCCGTTCATTTGTGTTTGAGACGACTTAATCTGTGAACATTTAGTCAGCACATTTATCATCCCGAGGACAATACGTATGGCCCGGTAAATTGTGAACATTTACAGTTCCCTCTGTTGGGCCACAGTCTAATTTAGAGGCAAGAATTGCACTTCATATATTTTTTCAGACCTTGCAGACCAAAGCTTCCCTTTTCCATTGGGTGTAACTGAATGAATTAAGCTAGCTGGCTGTTCCTACCATCTTGCTGTTTGGGCTAATGGCCAAGCTGTGTACAGTGTGAGAGCTCCCTCTACAGGGCATTCAGATCCCAGTTTTTGTCAAGGTTTCCTTTATTAATTTCCAAGGTGACGCAGTTCTTTGAAAAGATTTCTTAAAGAAATACTTTGGAACTCCCAGATGGTCCGAGATTGGTCACATGGACGCATCTCCCGGGTTTACCAGATAGAGCTATGCTGGCCCCAAAGCCAATGGGTATTTTTTCCTAGCAGGCCATTCTTCTCATTTTTTAATAGTTTCTGGGGGGGAAAATGCAGATTTATCGATTTGTTGTCTTTGGTGACTTTTGAGAAAGAAAATACGGATGACAGGGTGTTTCTAACTAAACTGGTTATATGGCAGCACCCTCTTCATCAAGACTTTTCTCTCCTCAACAAAAAATGCACCAGTGAAACTGGGAAGCTAGCTATTGTGCCAAAGATCTGAGATTAGAGAAACAGACACATGGTTAGACATGGCGTAGCTGTCACAATTGGCAGGAGGGCTAACGTGTGGGTAAAACCCACCAGAGTGGAAGACGTGTCATGACTCATAAAACTCAAACACTGAGGTGCCAGTGTGGAGAGAATGGTTCTGACCTGAAGCAATTTTCCAACTTCATCCCAATTAGATCTGAGAGGAACTTGGAGTAATGGCTGGGATCGCAAGAGATGGAGAAAGGAAGGAGGAAGGAAAGTGCATTTCAAACAGAACTAGCAATGTGAGAGCAGAAAAGGCAAAAAGCTAGGAAAGCAGTCACACCACTGCCGCTAAGAAGCAGTGAGGACGGCGTGTCAGACGCTGAGCTAAGTCCTTCCCAAACAGCATCCTTAAGATTGACAACAACCCATCCTCACAGGACCTGAGCCTCAGAGTTTCCTTACCCAGGCCAGGGTTACCAGTGTATGGCAAACTCTGAGGATCTGAACAAATTATATGTTTAACCTTAAAAATCAGCACAAGAAGTCTTTGCTTTGCTGATATGTCCATCTAATTATTGCAGTTGCCTTGCATCAAGAAATACGGTAATATGTGTTCTCAAAACAGAAGTGAAGGGATATAATACTGGCTGTTTCTTCCGATAAAAGGTGGGTTTCATGACACACCTGAGACCATAATTGTCAAAGGCTCTGACTAGGTAGGCTCAACTACGTGTCCACCAAGTTGGCCAAGAGGGCATCCAGTTTCACAGAAGACCCTGGAAGTATTTTTAAGAATTTGCTGATGTCTTAACTGAGATGGTGACTAAGGCCCAGTGGAGCCAGATGGGAGGGACAGGTAGTTAGGGCACAGACACCTCTGGCTGCCCTGGGGCAGCAGCCCCATCCCCCTACCCCCTGGGGTCAGTGACAGGTTCTAGCGAATCATCACTCAGATCAGGGAGTTCAGAGAGGGCTCCCCTCTTACAAGAAGTGTAACATCTTACAACATCCATGTTCAGGCTCATGGGAGGAAAAGCATCTGCAGAAGGAGCATCTGGAGAAATGTGTTGTTTCTGAGCCTGTTTGCAGGCTGTTTACATCCTGTATTTCCGGTCAGTTCTCGGGTCTGAATTCATGACACAGGTGGTGAAGGCAGCATGTGGCATCGTGGGTAGTAACGCACACGTGTCCTTGAAACGCAGGCTGTTTTCCAGTCTCAGCATCATCACGGAGCTGACTCACCCGGCCAACATGAGGTTCATGCAGTTCCGAGCCAAAGACTGCTACTCCCTCGCCCTTTCCAAGCTGGAGAAGGTACGTTGCGTGTAACCGTTTTGGTTGGAAGACTAATTTCTATTCAGAAAGAACTGCCATGAAATGATAAGAGTAATAATGGCGCTTTGAATTCTACGTGGGGGCTACAGTGGTGATGTATAGGTGTTTGTTTGTTCTTTTTTAATGCGAATTGATGGATTTGAACTATTTCTATCATAAGAGAATATGATGGAATATGTTATTCTGTCATCGTTAATCATAAATTAAAAGCATGATTTAAAGCAGAATTAAGTGTAACAGGAATGTGTATACTCAATCCATTTTGAAGTGGCTCCATTTATATTATTTTTATTTTAAAAATATTTTTTTTTATTGATTACAGAGAGAGGAAGAGAGAGGGAGAGAAAGATAGAAACATCAATGATGAGAGAGATTCATTGATCAGCTGCCTTCTGCATTCACCCCATTTGGGATTGAACCCACAACCCTGGGCATATGCCCTGAAATGGAATCAAACCATGGCCTCCTGGTTCATTGGTCAATGTTCAACCACTGAGTAACACCAGCTGGGCATTTATATTATTTTGCAAAATGCAGTATTTCACACTATCTTTAGATTTGTCACACCGATCAGGACATTTCCTGAACGTTATGGTTTTGCTTGTCCTTCCTTTCCATTGGACCTTTCTTCTGGTGTGGTCCATTTTTTGTTGCTGGGTCATTTTATGACATTGCCCTTCTTCTCAGGAATATTTCAACTCCTGCCACTGTTTTCCCAATGACACGTCCCATGCTTGGTCACTGGTCATGTGGCGTCCTGGACCCCCCTGGTGACGAAGCTCAGCAGAGAGGGAGAACATGACAAGGAATAATGCAGCACAGAAGAGGAAGACAACATTCAGAAAAACAGACATTTCCATCTCATTTCCCTCCCGACGCATCTCATTCCCCTTGTTTCCATGCATTTCATAAAACAGCCTGTTATTCATGCTTATGGCACAATTTGCTTCAAGGCCACTTCCTTCGAAATTGCTTTTGAACCATCACCATTCCCCAGTGATGACGGCAATTCCACCTCGGCAATCATGTGGTGATTACACCCTGATGGACGAGGCGAGGTGATGAAAATGTGAGATGAATAAGGGGGTATTATCATCAGAAAAATAGATGTGGTCTTTGTTCCTGACACAGAGCTTCAAAAAAAAAAAAAAAAAAAAAAAAGCCTTGGAATTTCCTGAGTGACAGGAGTGTCTTTGTTATTCAGACCTTGCAATCATGCCTGATTGGATGCTAAGCAGGCAGATCCTGGAGGGGCCCTTAGGTAGCTCGCGATGAGGCTGGTTGCCACGGAAAACCACCCACGTGATTGGAAGACTGAACAGTTCAGCCTCTCACCCCATCCCCAGCTCCTGGCAGGCGAGAGGGACTGGAGATGGAGTGTAGTCACGTGGCTAATGAGCTCATTAATTATGCCTAAGTCAGGACACTTGGATAAAAGCCCCGAAGGAGGATGAGTGGAGATAGTTCTGCTCGACGAACACGCTGACCTGAGAGGAGAATGTGGCTCAGGCCTGCCCAGATGTATTCCTTCATCTGCTGCCGATTTGCATTCTTTATCATAAAATGATAATAATTAACTGCAGCTCCTTGAACCCGCTGGGAGTGTGGGAAGCCCTGAGTTTGAAGCCGGTGCAGTTGGACGCGGGTGCAGTTGGCTGGCAGAAGGCCGCAGGCTCAGGGGCAGTCCGGTGGGCTGGGCCAACTCTGGGTAGTTAGCGTCAGGACTGAACTGAATTGCGGGCACCCGGCTAACGGCAGAGGATTGGTGTCGGGATGCAAACCATCACGTCTGCACACCATCGCTTTATGGTGTGATTGGCAGAGCTATCTGATGCAAATGGAGCCAGCTAGCTTCTGGGAGAAACAGGTGAGGGTGTAAAAAAGAGAGCAATAAGGCAAGATTGTACACAATATGCATTTGAACTCAGGCCAATCGATATTTACTGAGCATGAATGATGAGCTGAGTACCTTGTTACATATTCAAACTATAACTATTAATGAAGTCATGACACCGTCATAGCTAAGAATCACCCAATCAAAATATGTTCTTCACATATAATCAGGAAAAATTAAATAGGCAAAAAAAATGTAAAATACAGCCCAGCCAGCATGGCTCAGTGGTTGAGTGTCAACCTATGAACCAGGAGGTCATGGTTCAATTCCCTGTCAGGGCACATGCCCGGGTTGCAGACTCGATCCCCAGTAGGGGTTGTGCAGGAAGCAGCTGATCCATAATTCTCTCTCATCATTGATGTTTCTCTCTCTTTCTCCCTTCCTTTCTGAAATCAATAAAAAATATATATTTTTTAAAAAATTAAAATATGGGACGCTCACAAATGTTTCCATCTCACATCTCTGGACAGAAAGAACGAGAGAGAGGTTCGAACTTGGCCTTCATGTTCCGACTGCCCTTTGCAGCTGGGCGGGTGTTCAGCATCAGCATGCTGGACACGCTTCTCTACCAGGTACGCGAGGCTTCGTTTTCTCTCTCTGAGCATGTGTGCTTTTCTATTTCACTGAGATTTTAGCAAATAAATAATGTATCCGGTGTTTCTCATGGAGCTGTGAACTTGACTTAGGCTCTGAAAGTAATTCAATATTTTATTTCATGGACTTAATGACATAAAATGTGATGAAATATTTTGTAAGAGAACTGTTATTTTTCAGAATAACCTCTGAAGTATTTCTTAGGCATTCTTTAGTATCAGGGTCCTACAAGGTTTTGTGTGGCATCTTAATGTTGCTACATTCATATAACTAGCCTATCAATGATTCTCTCTCATCATTGATGTTTCTATCTCTCTCTACTTCTCCCTTCCTCTCTGAAGTAAATACAAATATATTTTAAAAAGAAACTAGTCTAGTAGATTTATTTAAAAGGCATTATAACTTTTAAAAGTCTTTGCTGTTCAAAATAACTAGATGACTATTTTTCTAATTTTAGTACTTGAAGATCAAACTGAGGACAGACGTCTTATATAATAGAGAGCTAATATGCTAATTAGACTGAATGGCAGAATGACTGTCCAGACAACCTTCCTGATGAAGCTGGGGCTTTGAGGCCAAGGCAGCCAGCTGGGGCTTTGAGGGCTGAGTCCCTTGCACAAATTTCGTGCACCAGGCCTCTGGTTTCATATGATTGGTTGAATGTTTGTACATGTCATGGTGAAATGTGTTTGCATTGCTTAGAAGTTTTTCTTTTCACCCACAGCTAAGACCAAATCAAAGACATAGAAAGCATCTTGAATGCTCTTAACTACTGAGCAGTGTTCTAGCAACATATCAAAATATATCTTATACATTAGCGCATAAAGAGTCTGGTAATATTTATTACTAAACTATGAAGTCATTAATATTTAGAGTTACTGAAATATTAGAAAATTACTCTACTAGAATAGGGCTTAATCCATAAAAAGTTTATATTTCCGTGCAAACATTAGTCGTTTCATGTATTTATGATATTCTCTATTTTATATCAATTCATTTTTTTTGTTAAAATCTAAAACTGTTTTTATCATGTCTAACAGCATGAATAAAATGTAAGCATATAGAGATATTCTTGAGAATAAATATTTCCATGTCTCGTTATGGACAGCTATCTGGACATGTGTATTTAGGCCAATCACAAGATATATTTTTTTATTTCCTGTGTAATGGAGGCTTACTGATGTGTGAGGAGAAACATCCCGTTAACAGTACTATGTGGCTAGTCTACACATTTCATCCTCTTGTTTGTATCGCAGTCATTTGTGAAGGATTATATGATTTCCATCACCAGACTCCTGCTGGGATTGGACACTATCCCAGGATCTGGCTTCCTTTGTTCTGTAAGTCAACCATTTTTGGAATAAAAGATAAACAGTCTGATAAACAGTCTGAAGTCCAACGATAATGGACTTAGGCTCCTGAGATCGAGCTAATCCACGTCATACTGCCATTCCCCGGGGGGCCGGTTTATTAGGCTGGGGTGAGCTATGATGGGGTGCCTTAAGTAAGTTTAATACATAGATGAGCACTCACACAATGGCATGATGAGATTTCAAGATATCAACACTTCCCATCTTTAAGGAGTGAAAAGAACACCAACGGGGTTTTTATTTCTGAAGCAGCTGAGATCAGCGAAGTCAGTCATCCCTGTGTTTTCCAGATAAAGATCACGGAGGAGGATCTCTGGATCCGGACGTACGCCCGGCTCTACCAGAAGCTGTGTTCCTCCAGCGGGGACGTCCCCATCGGCATCTACAGGACCGAGTCTCAGAAGCTCGCTACGTCTGAGGTTGGGACTATCAGACTATCCCAGAGTCCATATGTAACCCCATCGAAGGCAGCCATCCCTATCAGAAGAGAGGCAAATCTCTCCCTTAGAATATTTGCTGGGTTGTTACTTCATGCCTTGAAGTGTAAGTGACATTATACCAACAGAATGTGTTGAGTATTTAGTCTGGCAAGACGATTGTTTCCACATATTTGTTGGAAATCAAACCATCACAGAGACTTATGACGAGAAAGATCACACCAAATGCATTTAAGACTGTGATGGACAAGAGTCTACGGGCCAAGTGCCCAGCTATGAAGGAGTGGGCATGTGTGTGTTTTTGTTACAAAGTATATATAAGCTGAAACTCGAGAACGAAGACTGGTATTCTATGCTGATGGTAGATATGACTCCAGGGTTCATGCTCTTCGCTTCCACAGAAGATGACTTTCAGGATAGTACGCAGTAGGTGAGACTAGAGCAGTGGTTCTCAACCTTTCTAACGCCCGAGACCCTTTAACACAGCTCCTCATGTTGTGGTGACCCCCAACCATAACATTATTTTCGTGGCTACTTCATATCTGTAATTTTGCTACTTTTATGAATCGTAATGTAAATATCTGTGTTAAGAACCGCTAGCAGGGTCGCCTAAGACCATTGGAAAACACAGATATTTTTATCTGGTTTATAATTCATTCCAAGAGAACATATTTTCTAATAGTTTTTTTTTTTTAAGTAATGGAAAGTTAATATCAATGACTTTGACTTTGCTCTTCCTGTGAAATCTCTTATGACCTATATCAGTGGTCGGCAAACTCATTAGTCAACAAAGCCAAATATCAACAGTACAATGATTGACATTTCTTTGGAGAGCCAAACTCTTTAAACTTAAACTTCTTCTAACGCCACTTCTTCAACATAGACTCGCCCAGGCTGTGGTATTTTGTGGAAGAGCCACCCTCCAAAGGCCAAAGAACCGCATATGGCTCGAGAGCCGTGGTTTGCCGACCACTGACTCATATGATAATACCAGGGCAGGAGCAAACATAATCACAGAGCCCCAAGCTGACATCATTCCCTAAAATGTCTAATTCTCAATGTCTGTTTCCTTTCAAGTCTCAAATATCAATCAGTGTGGAGGAATGGGAAGATACCAAAGACTGCAAGGATCAAGGTCATCTCCGAGGCAACCACCGCAACTCCACGTCCAGCGACCAGTCGGACCACCCCCTGCTGAGGAGAAAGAGCATGCAGTGGGCCCGAAGGCTGAGCAGAAAAGGTCCCAGACACTCTGGTAAAACAGCTGAGAAAATAACGCAGCAGCGACTGAACCTCTACAGGAGGTCAGAGAGACAAGAGCTTGCTGAACTTGTGAAAGATAGAATGAAACACTTGGGTCTTTCTACAGCGGGATATGGTATGCTCGCTCAAAATATTGTATGCTATGGACTTGTGATTGCTGGCCCTTAGTCCTTGTAGCCTTGGTTCTCCTTTAGTAAGTCGAGAATCACATTTTTGGTTCAGAGGTCAAGTTGACGGGACTAGTGACACGTCTCGCATTGCTTCCGGAAAATCATGATGATGATAATAAAGAGAAGACAGTGCTAAAAGTTTTAAGTATTGCTTAGTTCTCTATAAGCACTGTGATGAATACATTAGATGAATTATCTTCATGTTAATTTTCACAAAGATTTCCATTTTAGACCTAAGAAAGCTCAGTCAAGTAACTTTCTAATTAGCTTGTTAATAGCATGACTGAGATTTAAGTTCTGTTCTGTCTGGCTCCAGTGTCTGTCTTACACACACACACACACACACACACACACACACACACACGCATATGCATACACACACACACATGCCACCTCTTATTCTACAGTCTGGAATAAACTGAATTTGAGACTTTGGTAAGTAACTAAATGTATCAGCTACAGACACACCAAATATTCTTACAAAATTTGTTTATGTTTTTGTTGTCCAGAAATAAAATGTTTCTAAAACCTATCATGTGAAGCTCAACTAGTGCTTGACCTCGCACACTGCAGTTCTGTCTCAGCGATGGGCTTCTGTGCTGATCTGTGATTGCAATATAGGCCATTTGGCACAGTGTAAATAAGTAATGCAAAGACAATTCAAAAATATATCTCTTATTACTCTACAAATGTTATTTTGAAAAGAAATTCAGTCAACTTAGAGGAAACCCAAATGCCAAAATGTCTGTTTTGTTGCACCTGTGACCCGGGTAGACCAGATGCCCCGATAATGGCAGTCTCCTGCAGGTTAAGGATCAACAGGAAGTAATCTGTATTTGCCCCATCCCATCTTTACTATGAAAGTCTCAACTAGACGCAGTGCCCATAGGGAGCGATTTCTCACAATACAGTCAGACAGAGCTTAGAAGAGGGTAGCTGTGTTTCTTTGAAGAAGGAAAAAGCATCGACTGAGCTCCCACTCTTTGCCAGAAACAACGTTAGGTGTTTTTTGAACACTTTATTACTCCATTTTACCCTTCAAGAATGTGAAGCTCAGAGGACAAAGGCTTTGGTCAAGGACATGAAGTTGGAACGTGTTGGAGTCAGGACTTGGTGTGTAATTGGAATTCAGAATGATATTGTTCCCACTTAAATGTGGACTCATTCCTGACCTATCATTTTAAGGTGATCAAATAGAGTCTTACATTAGGAGGCACACTGAAAGGAAACAATGATTTTTCACTTAAAAATAGTATTAGTAGCTCACTGCCAACTTATTAAGTGTGATAGCATTTCTCATAGAACTACAGTCCCATACTTACGTGTCCAATTGTTAATTGTTATCCAGCTACATTCTCTCCTTTTGGAAAGTTCTAGTAAATGACCGCTTGTCCAGGCCCAGCTGTGTTTCATGAACGTCATAATAATCCCCTCGGGTGCTGGAGGCAGTGAGGCAGGTCTCAGATCACAGCTGGGCTCAGAAACGCACGAACTGACTGCATGGGAGACTCACCAGGGAACATGCAATGTTTCTGCTAATAATACTCCTTCATTTTTTAGTATCAATTTGTTAATGTAATTCTCACACTAACTCTTACAGAGAGAAAGAAAGGATATGGTCTACCTTTTTACTCTTCTCTTACTTTTCTCTTTCTCTTTGTTCATTCTATCCATCTATCTATCCACAGGGCCATCAACTCATTTTTAAGCCATGCACTGTACATGCCCAATCACATAATGATGATAAAAACAGGATTTGGAAGCTACCACGTCAGGGGAGCCAGGTGCTCCCTGTATTTCTAACTCTCAGAAATTCACCCTTTGCTCAACAAATGTCGTTGGGCCATCCTCTGAGTGCCAGGCGCTGTTCCAGGTGCTGTTCCAGGCATGGGAATGGGACAATGACCTATTCAGACAAGACCTTTGTCTTTACGGACCATCTATTCTAGTGTCAGCCAGTAGAATGAATGAACTATTTATAACCTCTTTATCTTTTGGGGAGTGCAACTGGTAACACCTATCTCTTAGGTTTGTTGTACCAGTACAGGACAAATGAAATAATGAACCGTAGTGTGCTGAGCCAGAACTAGCATCAGTTAACACTATAGATCTAGTATATATCTATTTAAGTACTCTCTATCAGTGTTTTACACATAAACTGGTGGGGGTTTTTTGTCCACTTCAAAAACAAATTTTTGCCCCGTTTCGTAGCAATATCATCTCCCTTGAGGATATATGCTTTCAAAGAATTCGTATGTTGCCTGTTTGCCTGCCTCACTTGAGGAAAAGGGCATGTCTTACTCATCTTTCCATCGTTGTATCCCCAACAAATTACACATTTCCTAACGCACAGGAGCCCAGTCACTGCGCATTGAGTGTGGGAACAAATGGGGTTCTCGCGGGTGAGACAACAGGGCCTGGGCTGGACGCGGTTTCCATGGGTCCCCTGGCCTGGTGCACATGCGCATCAGCTCTTCAGTTTATGACTTGGACTCAGCATCTTTGTGCGTTTCCACAAAACCTGTGGCCGGCAAACTGCGGCTCGCAAGCCACATGCAGCTCTTTGGCCCCTTGAGTGTGGCTCTTCCACAAAACACCACGGCCTGGGCGAGTCTATGTTGAAGAAGTGGCATTAGAAGAAGTTTAAATTTAAAAAATGTCAATCGTTGTACTGTTGATATTTGGCTCTGCGGATTAACGAGTTTGCCGACCACAGTTAGACTATAGAGATAGGGGGAGGAGATGGCTTTGAACTCAGCTACTTTTTAAAATTTCTATTAACCTCGCCTTGAGGAGGAGTCAGTGAGGGGTGGGTGAGGAAAGAAAGTAGGAGTGATGTGGTCTCTTCATGACACTATCCAGGTCTCCAAACAAATCACAGGTAGCCATTGAATTGGACTCCTTTGTAAAATGTTTGCTCCGATTCCTGGAGTCCCTGGAGAACTCAGAACCTTCAGAAGGATAAACAAGACCTGAGCAGGAAACAACAATCACTGACACACTCGCTCTGTCTACACTGTAGGCAGCATTGACATTGGTAGGGACTTGGCAAACCAAGTCCCCAGGAGATTCTGACTTCATCCCAGAACCAAAAATGAGTACAGCGTCCTGTTGAGAAGCAAGGAGGAAGGCGGGTGTGGATGTTGCCTGAGAAATTGTTTGTTAAGATTGTTCCCCTCCCCTTACCCCCCATGCCACTGTTGGATACTGTGCAATGTTTATGGAAGCAAGTTCAATAACGCTGCCACTGTGTATGGAAGAATTTGAGCCGTATCTAGACAAGCGAGAAGGAGGTATTTTACTAGACCTGCTGCATTTCAGAGCATCATGTTTTATGCTGTGTTTCAGTCTCCAGAAGGCACTATTAATTTCCGTTCCTTTGTACAGCGGTTGTGGGAATTCACACAGGGGAGAAGTTCTCAGAAAGAGCACATAAATTGCTTTTTATATAGACAGATGATCCCGGTTATCTCATATCGGTACAATATCCTTTGAGCTGGCGTTGCTCCTTATTTGGAGTAGGTTCGTTGCATACACTCACCGGAATTCCATCTCCAGAGTCAGCCATCTCCCCTCCCCTCAGTGAGATTGGCAGGTTTAGCAAATGAAAATATAGGGTTCCCAGTGAAATATGAATTTCAGATAAGCAGCAAAAAAATTGTTTAGAACAAGTATGTCCCATGTCATCTTTGGGACCTATTCATGCTAAAATGTGTTAGCTTTTTCATCTTAAAGGCAAATTTCACAGGGCCCTCTCTGTTTTGCCTGAGAACCTTATCCTCATGGCAGAACACAATGCTTTGTATCTACTTGAGGAATATACGCAACCAACTATATCTCTTCATTTGACTTAATTTGATGATCTCTGGATTGCAAAAGTTTTGCAGGCATACTATGATGGATTCAGTTATATTGCAGTTGCATACCCTATAAGATAAGGACTTGCATTTATAAGTTTTAAAAATTAGAGCCCATCAATGTATCAATTTGAAATAGAACTTAAATAATTACCTTTTCTATTCCAGGGGCAGGATTTTAGTTAGATAAACACAGTGGTCGCCCTCATTTTATGAACATGCCATGTCTTCCCCTTGGAGGAAGTTATCGGGCCAGCTACATTGGCCTATAAAAGTCATTTGCATTAATTGTGCGCAGTTACTGTCTCTATGGGTCTGTAATACGTTCTTAGATTTTGAGTCAAAATGTAAAATGTAGTGCTTCTTTCAGGAGCTGCACTTATCTACGACTGAAGCGCCTTGCAGGGTTCGATGGCTCTAGAGCAGGGATTTAGAAACAGCCTCAAAGCCTATAAACGTTACCCTTGGAGGATGAATGCCATTGAAGTATGGGTCCATATGGGTTTACATTGACATTGTGTTATAACCTTGGCAGCTAAGAACGTTAGGTCCCAGGGCTATTTTCTTTGTCGGTGTCTTTGTATCATCAAAGCCAGTGCTCTGAACTTGAAGTCTGGGGATGTCCTCCAATGCAATTGACAAAATCAAAAAGGCACAGCCTTTGACCATAACACATATACAGCGTATCCCCCCAAACTGAATACACACTTCACAGCTGATAGCGCTATCAAAGTTTCTTTCTTTTCAGATTTAATCCACTGGGATGAATAAGTATTCAAAGTGTGCATACATTTTTGGGGTGCACTCTGTTTTCAAGAAAAAACAAATAACTTGGTTGTACACTTTCCTTGAAACTTACACTTCAATTCTGCCCCCTTGGGATCCTTTGCCTTCTGCAGAACCAATAGGATGGCTTTTTATCAGACACATCATGGGACAGAGTCAAACATAGTTAAGGTCTTCAAGCCTCCCAGATATACTTCTGTTGAGCTTTCTAAACACAGTGTCATTAGATGGTACTTCACAGAATTTCCCACAGGAATATTTCTTTATGAAATTGGCCATCGCTATCCACAATCATTTTTTTTTAATCAATGATAAAAGCATAATCAATCAAGTTGACATCTTGTCGAGCTATTTCAGTGTCAACGTTTTGAGGGTAGAATATAACTGTGGTTGTTCTGAACAGAATTAGATGGTTTAATTGTACCACCTATTGGATGGAAAAGGAGACATTTTTGTCTGTCATTGGCAGACATTTCCAATGACAATCATTTGGAAATAGTTGCGTACATGGTGGGCAACACTATAGCACGTTCTCCTGGACAGCTCTATGGTTTGAAGATAAGATGCTCTTTAAGAATCCTCTCGATGTTCTGTAAGTAGCATAACAACCCTGGCACGGATTTGTCTTCCAGATGAAATGAATGACCACCAGAGCACCCTGTCATACATCCTGATTAACCCATCTCCGGACACCAGACTAGAGTTGAATGACGTTGTGTAAGTTGACCTTACATTCCACATGCAAGGCATTGATTTTCAGAAACCACTAGTTATTACTGTGTTTTGTATTTTGATCCCCACCGGTGTAGCCCCTATACCACAGGAATCGTACAGGGAGTCCTTCTGCCAATGTTTAAAAATAGAGACACAGTTTAGGAAACCTAAACACTGGACAAATACATTGGAAGTAGTCCTCTCAGGGCTCTGAGTGAACTAGTTCTGTGTTTATTGACTATCACTGTTCTTTGCTTTGCTTTCTCTTATCAGGTATTTAATCCGACCAGATCCACTGTCATACCTCCCCAACAGCGAGCCCAGTCAAAACAGCAGCCTCTGCAATGCCGCAGGTCAAGACTCTCGGGAGGAAACTCAGCTTTGATAACATAAAAATAATGAACTTTATTTTTTGTGACAAGGAGCTTGCTTGAAAGAACTCTATTTTAGGAGGAAAATATGGCGGGCATGAAATAAACTAGACCGGACTCTTCAAATCTCTCCTATCGACACAAATTTATTCTCTTAGAAACATAGGTTATTTTGAAATTTAACTTGCTGCTTATTGGTATTTCTCCTAGTAATACTGGAAAGACATCCATGGAATGGTTTTGAAAAACCTAAATGAAAACACATGATTTCAAATTGGCTCACTGCTTTGTTTGACAATAGCCCGAACTGTCTGAAGTCATTTTTTACAAATGTTAAGGTTTTCTGGAAGTCAATGAAAAAAATCCAGCTCTATTTGGTGCATCATATTCTATTCGTTAAAACTGGTCTTTTACAAAATTGAACTCATCATCTTCTCTACACAGGGATGACAGACAAACTTGTGGGCTGGCATTTTTGTAGGCGTCACAGTTTGCTTTAGAATACTAAGTCACCTTTACTGGTTTTGGTTGCCTTTTATAAGATATATTTTATTTTGGGACTTGAGATGCTCATAGCATGTTTTATTACACTGAGGAAACCAAAACAAATTTAAAAAAATATCGAGAAGCTGAAACTTTAGCTCACTTTATGTCTAACTCTCATTGTATGCCAAGGAGTATGTATTAAAAAGCAAATATCGATCGTTCTCCTAAAAGAATGCCTAACATTGAGAAAATACTTAAAGCATATTTACATTTGATTAAATGTTGATTTACATTTAATACAGGAATTGAAATAGGCAGTGATTTTCATTGGACTATCGAGCTTCAACATTTTTTAAAAATATCTATATAGAATATTTCATTAGAAATGTAATTTAAAATTCAAAGAAGCAAAACTATACTCCTTATGGAATACAAGGATATTTGAAGCATCAAAAGTCCTCTTTTATGCCTTTAGAATTGCAATAATCATGCCCAAAAATGGATGTTAAAGATTTGGATTTAATTTGAAAAATTATCTATGGGAATATAGTTTAACACTGTGAGGATAAAGCATATAATAAACATAGTTTTGCCATTTAGATGGCATATAAATCAGGTAGAATTTGACAGTTATAAATATAAATTGACTTTGGGTGACAGCCTTTAGTCTGTATTTCTGAATCTCCCTCAGAAAAAGAAAGAAAAGCACAGAGTTAGTTGCAATGTGTTAGGGAAGAGAGAGACTTCTGTAAATTTAAAAAGTTATTTTTCTTCCAACTTTGTAGTTTGTTTTTTTTTCTGAATTTGTCAGTGAGTTTTAGTTAGTAGAAAATAGGACATATAAGACTTAGAAAGAGAAATTTTATCTTTTTTTTCATAGAGTAGCAGAGCAATTGAAAGGAAAATAGAAAGGTTAAAACAAAACAGAGAGAAAGAAAACCTAATAGTCCCCGAGTAATTCTATGGAAATAAAAATGTAAACCATAATATGTGAAACTGTAGGTTATAGCCATTCTATATTTTGGCTTAGAGAATGAAATGCCTATTTGTGTTTTTTATTTTTATTTTTATTTTTTTTTCCTTTACCTTACTCTCCTTTTGGAATAATAAAACCACCAAGAATTTCCTGTATAACAGGAAGACACTACCTTTAATTTTCTTTCATCAGACAGAGAAGTCGAATTTATAACAGGCCACTTAAAACTGGAAGCATGCCTTAAAACGAAGACTGTATGCATAGGTATGTATATGTCCTAAGCACATGGGAAAGATAGTTGACAAATACACATTAACATGTACATTATTCAAACTAAAGGCAGAGTCAAAGTAGTATATGCACTGGAGAACAGGGATGCATTTATGACACTATTTCATAGTTGCACATCAACAGTCAGTACGATGCTTCTTTCAACTGCCATTTCTTTACATCATTACAGTTATTTTTAGGAATAAATATAGGATTTTATGAACCTTCCATTTCCTCCCAGGATCTCAAGTTAAGACTTTCTGCATTATGACAGCTGTCAAGCCTGGGATTTTAAGTTAAGACATGACTCTATTTCCTATAAAACTAAAAACTCCATTTCATAAATTTTACAGTAATTATTTTTGATTATGAATGTTCATCCAAATTTACTATTTAACACAATTCATACAGCTTGCTGTAACAATGATAGTTTATTAGTTTTCGTGTTATTTAAAGAATAACAACTTGCTAATAAAAGCCTTTTAACAAAACGGTTGCCTTTTTAAAATACACTTGCACATGAAAATAAAACAAAAAGCCAATAATAGTCTTTGTAACCCTAAGCCTAAAGGAACAGGTTCTGTTTACTGACTATGTAACATTTTGCTACCAGTTACACAGAAATGCTTTAAAATAAATAATAAAAATTATTTCTGATGATGAAAATTCTTTTTTTTGTGTGTGTATGGGTGTGTTTGTTTTTTGCCTAAATGTTCATTGTTTAGACACAGTATGCTTTGAACCTATTAAACTCATCGGTCACTTTGATATTTCTAAAACAAAATGAACGTCCCTCTGTTGCTTTGTAGTAAGTTTAAGTCAGGAATGGTGAGTCCTCCAACATTGTTCTTTTTAAGATTAATTTGGCTATTCTGCTCCTTTGCATTTCCATATCAATACTTGAATTAGCTTGTGTATTACTGAAAAACACTAGCTGGGGTTTTAATTACATTGGATTATTGATGAATCTGGGGAGTGTTGTCATCTTAACAATACTGTTTTCTATTCCATGGACCTGAGATACCTTTTCGTTTATTTCTTTCAGCGATATGTTGTAGTTTCCAGTGTGCGGTCTTGCATTTCTTTGGTAGTTTATTCCTAATCATTGAATTCTATCAACCTCTGTAACTACACCTGTTTGGAACACAGTCTTAGCTGTTTCCTAGGGCTGCTCTGGCTACAATAGCAGAGTAGTTGCAAGAGAAAAAGTCTGCCTAGCCCCAGTTTAGGGGAAGTCTCCTGACTATGCTCTCTGCTCACCGGCACAGCAGGATGGCAAGGCACATGAGGACCAGGCCAAGTTAATGAAAACACCCTTTCTGCTTGTTATGGAGCTGTTTCCCCCCACGTGCTGCTCTGTTTGTGACCCTCACATTAATTGGCACCGTGGGTCAAGGTGAAGGACATTATCTCTCCTGCTAAATAACAAGCAACACCTACATCAGAATAATGACTGCAGCTGCAAGCATACTGCTTCTGAGTTTCCGAAACATTATTTCACTAACATCGCATACGGTTTTTAAGAAAATTGACTTAGTTGACCTCCTCTCAAGACAGCCAATCAGCAACAGGCACGAGGGGCAAAAACACCCCACAGTGCACATGGGGAACTGATCTTGAAATGCAAGTCAGGGGAACACACAGCCTGATGATAATTGTTCCATTTGAAGGCCCGGCTTGGATAGAAACACACGTGAAGAACAAATAATTTGGGATGCGATTTGGTTTATCTTGGGATTTGCTTTGCGCTATCACCATCTTGTGGCCGAGAGTAAAAGTTTTCCATTGCAAACCAATCTGAGGCTGGGTTCCCCATTAGACTTCCACAACACAGTCTTTCTGGTTGTTTTACTGTCATTTAAAAACCGCCTTTGTGGTATTTCAATTTCCGAAATGCTATCATCTCATCAATTATAGGGAAGGATCTCTGGAGAGCCAGCTCTTTGGCTGACCCATGGTGAGATTTACATGAATTCTATCCCAGGGAACCCCCAGGCGCACAGCAATAGTCTTCATGAGGATGTTTTTCGTACGTGAAATCTACAATTGCAGAGACTGGCACATCTCCTCTCATTATTCTTGCTGCCAGATTCACTTTTGCGCCGCCAACAACGGTGACACCTTCGGTCATCGGGCTGGCGTGTCCTCGGTGGATCTCTCTGGCGTTTTCCTCTGATGGGCAATTCCGACGATCACTTATGAGGGCCATCAAGCCGTGGATGCATTTAGTGGCATCAAACAGGAAACAGCCGCTGCCTTACAATTCCCAAGGTGTCCAGGAAGCTTCTATGGCTCAGGGTGTGTAATACATTTTGTCACCGAGAGTCACCTCCACAACTGACTGTGCGAAGACTTGTTAGCGGGGTGCTGATCTCTTCTCAGATGGGATTCCACCTGCGCGTCATTTGCCGAACCGCTTGTGAGAGTGAATCATGGGAGGGATTTCTGGGATGGGGATGGGATTCAAGGGCAGCCAATGGCATCTGTGACTTCATGAGACATGTCTCTGAGGCTGGGCCTCTCCTTAATATCTCCTCACGTGGCAGGAGGACTTAACGGTGTCCCAGTTACCTATCATCACAACGAAACCCATGTCACTCTTGATCTTGATCTTGAAGAGTTTCCGGATGGGTGATAGGAAGCAGAGGGAAGCTAGCTTCCTGTTTGTGGGGAGTGAGGTGGAAATTAGGCCCCTGGGATGAGGGATGGTTTCAGTCCTTTGGTGGAAGCTGACAATTTACTGTTTACAACCCAAGGGAAGAGTCAGTATAATTGCGTGTCTATTCGTCTCCGTTGCTGTAGCAAATTACCTCAAGTTTATTGGCTTAGACAACGTAGAGTTATTGTCTTCCTCCTGCAAGCCGGAAGTCCAGAGTGAGGCTTAGCTGGCGAAGATCAGGACATGTGTTCCTTCTCGAGGCTCCAGGGAGCAGGCATCTCGTTGGGTTTTGTGGTCGCTGGGGGCGGCCTGTGTGTCTCGGCTCATGGCCCCTTCCTCCATTATCAAGGGCATCCCTCCCACCTCTCTGCTTCCTTCCTCACAGCTCCTCTGGCCTCCCTCTCAGGAGGACATTTGTGATGACAAACGCACACAGGCAATTCAGGACAATCTCATCATCTCAAGTTTAATCAGAGCCGCACAGTCCCTGTTGCCCTCTAAGGGAACATAGCCAGTGGCTGGGGAAATCAGGATACTGGTATCTTTGGGGGCCATTATTCTGCCTACCACACCAAGGGGCTGGCTCACTGATTCCCTCACAGGTATTTTCATGCAACGACCAA